TAGAAAACAAACTGTTCAAGGCGAGTGTTTTTTAAATGAACGACAGCCGAATTCACCGGAACATGAAGATCGCTCGGGATGACAGCGCCGCAAAACTCGGCTGCAGTGACTGAAGTGACTTTCTACTCAACGCATCGGAAAGGATATCAGAGCGAGCTCTTATTTTTTCACTCGAAGGCCGGCCGATGTAGTTTCTGAGGCTTGCTTTACTGTAATGACCGGAGATCGCCGTGCTAAGCAAGCCGCGATGGACTTCAGCATGATCATATTTGCTCAGACACCGTCATGATTAGTATGAATTTTGACAGATACGTCAGTTTGATTATATTTTTCATAATTTCTGTTTTGTTCTGTTTTGTTTTTGAACACTGAACTTTATATACTATACGAGTGTTAGCTGTGTTTGATTTTTATTACCGTTCGTAAGCTTGCAATCTAACTGAGCGTGAAAATCTTTAAAACTCGGAATGTCTATTTTGTTTTTCGTTTGAGGATTTTCGTATCTGCTCACGTTTTAATAATGTAAATTACGGCGCCTGATATGTTTATAACCTTTGTTTGGTTCTTTTGTTGCTACTTGCCGGCTCGCTTGTTCCGAAATTTCACTTTCAATTATCGGAAAAAAGCTAAAAAGAAGTCCCGGTAAAGGTCGAATATAGTACAATTTGGCAGATGGCGTGACAGCTTTGGCTCAGCTCTATGCTCTATACTCTCATAGAGCACGCTCTTTCGACCAATGACAGCGCGCGTTATATCCGAACTTTATTATAAAGTGTAATAAAGGCCACGAGTTCATCAGTGTTTTTACTACAGCTGAATTTAATTCTCTTTGAATAAAGCCTTTACTTACTTACGATCACACAGACTTTTAGAATTCAGTTGTGTGGTTTCTGATATAAAGAATAATATTAAGTCGACTAGACATGATGGTTGTCCGACTCCAAACTCGCTCCTAGGAGGAGGCTGGGTAAAGTCAGACCACAGACATCCGGATTGCGAATCACGCGCTCAGACCCACTTCAGTTCTCTCTGCCATTATAAGAAAAAATTAGCGATGCGTAAGGTTAATGTACTTTTGGAAATTCTCACTAAAGTCAGTTGTCACTAGTGGATCGACAAGGAATGTCCAGATTCCTCAGATCCCCATGTACAGATCCATCACAGGGAAAAGAACAATTTATTGTAGGAAAGTCAAACTATGGAATTCCTTAGTCCTATCATCCAAGTGGAAGAGGACATTGACAGAATTTAAACGCTACTTAAAGAAACATTATATATATGCACGCTCACTAGTTTTTCTAGTTTGAGCACTCTGGCATGGCTTAGGTGATCCCACATGTGTGAGATCACTTGGGGTGGCTATATTGCCTTACCTCCATCCTAGCATCAGCACTGCACTGATGAGGCCCAGAAGGCCGAAACAGTACTGTCTGCAGTTAGTTATATATATATATATATATATATATATATATATATATATATATAAAGTGTAAATTTTTGACTTTCGTAAAACAGTGCTCAATACATAGAAGTAGAGCGATGTATATATTTGTGGGAGGAAAAAGACAAAAAAACTACAAGTTCATCCCTACAGACCTGTTTCGTGATTGCCCACACCGCATCATTCCGCCACGCTAAACACAGAAACTCCACGGAACTCAGCGAGCACATCTGGACCCAGAAGGCCGAAACAGTACTGTCTGCAGTTAATTATATATATTGTATACATGCTATTTGTACAACGTACTTTTATTTTTAAAAGCCGTTTTGGGACGACTTAAGTATGTCAGTCTATTTGTTAGCCGCCATTTCCGAGTTATTAGTTTACGCGATTTTTATCTTCGTTGTTTTGCCCCCAAATTCCCAGTGCTCGTAGGCAACCGTTGAAAGTGGTTGGATACTTTTTTCCTGAGCCTTGACCTTGACCTTGACCTTTTGCAGTCGAACTAGAGATTGAAGTCTGAAATAAGGGGCGCGGCATGGCAATCGCTGTACTCATAACGGAGGTAGCAGCGCGCGATCAGCGGAGCCCTATACATACATGTAAAATATGATAATAGAAACAGTAACCCATAAAACCGGGAACATTTAGTCTGTCACGTGACCGAACGTCCTTTTGTAAACGTTGCCATAGTAAACATGCAGAAACAATTGTATTACGAGCACAAATCTAGTCACAATGTAAGTAGAAGGGAAAGAGAAAAGGAAATGAGCATGCGCTATTGCATGCGCAACCTGGTAGTGGTAGGAAACCTAGGAGCAAAGTGTAGCTCCGCTTTTAAGATTGGCTAAATCCATATATTATCCTAATGCCAAGGGAAAATCCCGTTGAAAAATCTGGAACCGTCTCAGAAGGCTCTCGATAGATTTCGACTTTAAGGTAAGGCCTCACTGCTGAGTGATTGTTGAATTGAGGCCTCATTACTGAGAGAAATTAATTAATTTTTTTCTGTCAGCCACGCCATTACTCTGTTTACATGAAGAGCTCTAAATCAAGTCATATAGATTATATCTATTCGCTTTTCGTACGACAAATTTTCATTATGCACTCAGCTATCGCGCCAAATTTGAAACTAGTTCCGTGTATCGATAAAAAGCAGTTTAGCCACTCAAATTAAGAGTATTTTTTAAAATTTCTTGGATACTAAATCGAAGTGAGGTCCATTTATCTCTGAAATGACTCTAGACGATTTCTCCAAATATTCTTGACGTGTAATACGACATAATTGCTTTAACTTGGAGGAGCTTTTCTGAAAATTTTATTTATCCATGATAAGTAGATGGTTGTGCGTTTTTTTTTTTTAACAACTTACTTTAACACTTTTGCTTAATGATTTTCATCCACAAAGGTCGCGAAAAAAAATACCTCTCTCTTCTTTCAGTCGAAATATATTTCCCATCCCTCAGAGGAACCTCTTTTTGGTTTTCTGCCGCTTCAGAACAGCGTTGAAAGACTGAGTTCAGAAAAAGTAAGTTAATTTAAGAAAACTTGAAACTTCTGTAAAACCGAGCGCGTTCAAAACCAAGTGTTTTCAATAAGGTTTCCGCGTTGCTCCCAAACTAGTGGCGACCACGGTTTAACTGTAAACACGTTTGAAGACAGTTTTCATGATGAAGCAGAATAGATTATTGTTTTGAATCTCAAAACCCAATAGATGTTTCCTGATATTGTATGCTCTCTAAAACAGGAGCATTGAATTGAATGAGTTATATCCATCTCCTAGGTCTTTTTACCGCCAAATTTTTACATTTCTCAATATCAGCCTTTAATTCTTTATTGCTATATTTTATGTGGCTGCCACGGGCGACTTTCAGCAGTAAATGCAGACAGTTTTAAACCCGACTTAATGATATAAACAAAATAACGAGCGAAACCTTTTACAATTTAAATTAAACTAACTACGCTAAAACTAAATACACTTAGGAAAATTACAACGAAAATAACAATGAAGTCTACATGATACTAAAACTTATATTTGTTGCGATGCTGAAAAAATACTGCTGAATTACTGCCAAGAAACGTAATATGAAATATGATCGCAAGCGGACTTACTGAGTAAAACTAACAACTTTGCACGGCGCACGCAAAAATTTTTTCTGTAATCAGTGTCGTTTGAATAAAAATACAGATAGACAAAAGTAAAAGACGTTTGTGATCTACATTTTAGCTAGATAAATCTTACCTATCTTAATCAAAATCAACAGATTTTTGAAATACATTTTTCGTTTTTTTACTTAGCAAACATATAAGTAATGTATTTAAATTTAAAATAAAAAAAAGTTATATCTGCTTTTCGTTAGATCAATTCTCAAAATACTCTTAACTATAGCACTTAAATTGAAAACAGTTCCTCCTATCAATGACGCGGTGCAGCTCAGCGAATCAAGAGTACTCTTTAATATTACATTTCGTGGACATTAATTCGAAGGTAGATTAGTGAATAAAATAGCAAGTGTTTCTCCGGCTTTAGGAAAACTTCATTCAACCGTCTCTGGTACCATTACCATCAGTGGTCATTTATTTTTGAAAAACACTTTTAATTAAATGGTTCCTTGAATTTAAAATAGATACTTGGTCAACAGCTGTTGTGTTTTGCGAACCATTCTATTCCATAGCGATTTACTCATGATACGTTAGAGAATGAGCGTTTTTTTATCAACTTATTTAATCTTCGCAGACTGTCTTCAAATGCGCTTACAATTTGACTGTAGACGCAAACATTGTGAAAACAACGCAGTAACCCTACTTTTTAAACACGCTTTCGTTTGACATTTTCTTTACACAAGTATTTTTTTCTGAACACAATCTTTCACAATCCCCCTTGTTTGCAGCAGGAAGATGAAACTCAAATGTCGCCCGTTATGGACATCCAATCACGTGCTAGCTTGACGTAAGCTCATTAAAATAATATCTTGTCGGGAGAAATAGATAGTTTTAAATTGATTTCTCTTGCAAGTGCCAATTGAAAAAGACACTGGAATTTTATTTCGTTTTAGTCTCGCACATAAGATCAAATACATCAGTAGATCTTGACCTCTCAGATCCCTGGCTAACCGTTTCTCGACTCTGGCCAATCTTTTTCTGATGAAATATCCGCTGAAAATTGATATTCCCTTCCGATATTAGTCTCTAACGTTAACGTACGCGTTAATATAATTTCCTTAAGACGTCACTGGAGCGGGTGGCCTGCATTGTTCAATAATCGAGGTGGCAAACAAATTGAGGTCCCCTTTGACGTTACGAAAGTAACAAGTATAATTTGTGATTCTCTTATTCAAATTTTTTATCGAAAGATTTCAGTTCCGTTCAGTCGAAGTCATAAACCTGGTTAAGAGTTTGAACGCGAGTACAGAGGAACTTCAGATCGTTGGTTGCACCGAAACGTTTTGCAGCTTTTTTGAAAACTTTTTTGGAAGATTCAATTTGGAGTGTTGTTCAAATAATTTGGACAGGTTAACCAGTGATTCCGTCACAAAAAGTAGGAAGTGGCTATTATTTCTTGAACTGGGCAAACTTGACATGATCATGAAATCGCCGTGCCAAAAATCGACAGAGGTTTTTCCCACAAGTTCCGAAGTTGAAGAGCTTTATGTCACCTACATTGTCAACTGCGTGTTCATTGGTGTTCTGAGTTACACAACAGTCATGTTTAACATTGTAACTATACTTGCGATTCGAAAAATCTCCTTATTGTCAAAACCTTTAAAAACACTGCTTCTGAGCCTGGCTTTTTCAGATACATGCGTTGGGCTTTTGGTTGAGCCATTTTATATCTCTATCTTGGTCAAGTGGTCGCAGTTCAACAACCCTTCCTGCGTAACATACCTGGCGTTTCTAAACCTCACTAATCTGTTTCTATTGGCTTCTTTCTGTGGTGTCGTTGCCATAAGCGTTGAGAGATTCTTGGCGATTTATCTCCATCTTCGATATGAGGAACTGGTCTCTGATAAGCGTGTTATTGCAGTGGTAATTTCAATATGGCTTTTTTGCGCGTTAACTTCATCAGCTAGTATTTGGCGTAGCAGTGCGGTGTCTTCGCTGTTGTTCGTCAGTATTGGGGTTCTATGTCTTCTAATAACAACCGTAGTCTATATCAAGATTTATGCAGTTATACGAAGGCATAGGAACCAAATTCAAACCCTTCAACAAACGACAACGCGCAATAATAACAATATGAGTCTGTCGAGCGCTAAGAAATCCGCTACTGGTTTATTTTATGTGTATCTGTTATTACTGATTTGTTATGTACCTCGAGGAGTTTACTTCTTCACCAAAAAACTCAGCGGTTTCAATACCACTTCTAAAAGTTTTGCTGTATACTCCTTAACGCTGTTATTTTTCAACTCATTTTTGAACCCTGTTATTTACTGTTGGAAGATGAGACGCATTCGTCAGGCAATCATGGATACGCTGCGTAACATATTTCGTTGGCGACGAAATTCTAACTCATTTCCTTCGCACCCTGAGAAAAGTATGACCAAAGTCTCGTGTTAAATTTGGCCAAAGAGCGAGTAGAGGTAATTAGGAATATATATATAGATGTATATTTATATATATCATGTATACGCAGCTTCCATGAAATGTCATTCCGTGGTCTGTGTTAGGAGCCAGTTAATGCATTGACCAGAAATAGAGTTCACAAGACTCTGTTATATCACAAGGGTTATCGAAGGACAGAAATAACACTTTTTTTATGCCAGGTGGAGAAGAGAAAAAAAGACGGAGACTTTTGAGTATTGTATGATAATTAACAGAGCATACAAGTATACTTATAGTTCAGACACTACACCAGAAAACCTTAAAAACAACATCAGTGGCATAAAGAGTTGAAAGAAAACAAAAATAAAAAGGCAAACAAACAAACAATAAATCCGAAAGTAAATAGTAAGGCGGACGATGGAACACGCCTAAATAAACGAAATGTTATCATGTCAACCGAAGCATTAAACCATTTAATTTTCAAAATTTAATGAACAATTCTTCGTCGAAGGCGAAGGGAGGGATTATCGATTTAGCAATGCATGGGAAGCTTAATTAAGTAGAGGCTTTATTGAGATGCGGACGATAGCAAGAGGTTTAGAGTTATTCTATGTAGAGCTTGCTACAGATCTTAAGTCTGTGCTGTTTGGAGTAAAACGCTATTCGAGGGCTTTTAAATTAAATGGTTGATGTCCAAGCGCGTCAGAAGTAGTTTTATCCATCTTCCAGTCGCCGTTCGTCTTAAGTCTTAAAGTAATTAACTGTCTTTATTTGAAGACCATTTTGGACTGAAGATGATTAGTGCTTTAGTGTTAATTTTAAATATTGCGCCAGGTGATTGAATCCAGGCGTAATGTAGTCCTCGACCCACTAGAACGAGTGTGTCTTCATCTGTATAAATCAATAACGGTTTCATTGTTGTAAACATAACACATAAGAAAATTTGTACGCAGATGCGTGCCTAATTTTTTTGTCTCCCCGGGGCTGCATTGCGCCTGAAGGATTTCCGGGTAAAACGATTTATCGTAAGTGTTGGATATTTACAAAGCTAATCTTACACGTTGTGTAAGATAATACTTATGATAAAGAAGAAGCCTTCAAGTAGGCTAACTTTCAGACTCTTAATCCTATTATGGTTCGAAAACTGACAGGAACAGGAACACAGGAAATGTGCTCCTGACAGGAATAACAATCAAGAAACTCGGCTCCTGTAATAAAAAGTTGGGTAATACAGCTAATTGACCGAGTGACTACGTGTTTTGCGATTGGTTGTTTCCCCTCATCTATCGGAGTGCAGACGCCAAGATGGCAGACATTATGGGAAATTGTCATCTTTGTTTTGTTAACTATAGTTCTGAAAAAAAATGCTGTTTTTTTTTCCCGATTGAGCAGGTGAAGGCTTGAAAACAAAGTAAAATTAAATGAGTTTGTGGCAACTTCAAATGATGTAATTAAATAAGAACGAATGACTTTTCGAGCACATGTGGAGAAGTTTGCACATTGGAGAAATTTGCGAGAATCAGTGAAAAGAGTGCTGGGAAGCGCCGACGAGGCTTGGAACTAGCATTGTCTGAGGCGCCATTTTAGGATTTTGTGACGTGGCCATTCACATGCGCAGATATTTGATTTTCTTTACTGCGCATAAAGGCCGCTTTCTAAATTTTGCACACACTGTACAAGAAGTGTGGCGGTTTGGAGGAGTGTATCCGTGGACTGACGCTTTTTTAACGGGATTTTGTGTATTTGGAGGTACAGAATAGTCTTTTCGAAGCACATGGAGCACTACAGTTCGCTTGGGTGGATTTGGTTGGTTTTATGTGTATGGATTTCTTGTCCTGCGGCATTTTATCTACCCGGTCTGGCGCCGATTTCGTATTGCGAGACGGAAAAATCAACAAATCCTGTTTGTTTGGTAAGGTTCGGGGGAGTTAACTTTATATATTTTGCAATTCTGCTGTCTTATGTAACGCTCAGAACACTTTGAAGAATCTGATATAGATTAAATCAACGAATTTTGAGCCAAGGTAGTTAGAATTTTGTTTGTTTGTTGCTGATGGTGGTCAACGGTGATCAATTTCGCTTCGACTTCTTTCAACACCGCTACTGAAATGTTAAGGCTTTGCGCATATTCCTAGATAGCGAGGCAAACTTAATGTTATTAGGTAATGGTTGTTTAATTTATTGCAATCACACTTGCTTTTAGTTATGTATTGAACCTCTGCTTTTATTTTGTCTTGTATATTTATAATGTCTTTATTCACTTGTATATCAACATCGATTCGATGAAACATCTAGCTCTAGAATTTTACCATCAACAAGTTCTGATGTTTTCCTTAAACATAAATTGTCATCAACTTTGTTAGGTTGTTCGCTTTTAGATATTTCGCAGTAGTACGCGTGTGAAAACTCGTGGTCATTACCGATCACATCATAATCTAGCCGTATCGAGTTAACGAAAGAAATGGCTATTTTTTTAGACATTTTGACATCTACTTCGCCACGAGTAAGATTATTTTTTGTTTTTTCGATCCCTTTCAGTGTAAGTGCAAAGCGTGAACATCTGTGTCATCAATTTTACATTTCATGCAAGAATAAAACCGTATTTCCCTGACAACCAGCAAGATACGCTAAGAATGAGATGTTTGAATAAATTTACATTAAAGCTGTTAATTGAAAAGTTACGTGAAAGTTTTGCCTAAGGGTAAACAAACAAATCTAATGGTTTTTTTGTTGTATTTAAATTTTACATGAAGTCTCTTCAAATCTTCAATCTAGTGATTCCTGCAATTTATTGTTAGATTAGTATCACCCTTATAATATGGATGGCAAGAAATATTTGACCTATACCCTGGGTGTAAATTTTTTCAGAATCATGGGATTTTTCACCAAGGTGTCTAACATATGCATTACCATTGTTGGAAACAAAGAGGAATGAAAACCAATCTTGACCTCAATGCTCAGTTTTGGTGAATTTGCTCTAAATACATGTTTTTTTTTGTTGTTGTTATTTCTCTAGTCCAAAATTGATTTGTTTGTGAATCGTCTGGATTCTGTAGAATCAGTGATTCCCTACGAGTATGCCAGGTTTGTAACTTTTACTATCAATATTATTGTTTTTTTAGCCCTTTAACTGCTAGAAGTGATCAACATGTAACTTCTCCTTATAATATCTAAACATTATCCAGCAAACAGGTCATGAGAATATTCAAACTCATCAGGTAGAAATTGTTATCTTGATCTTAAACCAAATTCTTGTAACTTATTTATGAGGAAATGTGAAACAGCTGGAGGGGAGAATTAACCATCAGATCTCGGTAGTGAAAGAGTTAATACACTCAGTAAATGGTGTTAACCTAGGGGTAATAATTGACTGTGTAGTCTTTTTATCCAGGTGAGAGTAGTCCTGAATAGAACTGTCGTTGATTAGATCGAGCAATATTTTGACAACATGAGAACAAGTTCATAATCAGAGTTAGGGTTGTCCTTCAAATAAAAACCATTACTAACTGAGATAAACATACAACACAGTCAGAACTTTTCAATTCTGTTCGATCTTGATCTTTCTAACTCAGTTGATCGTTAATCCTTTCCCAGATCTCATCAGTAATTCTCCCTACTTTCTGTTATATACTTCTTATGAATTTAGTTTGGAGAATTTGTTCTTGGAACAATTTATAATTTCCTAGTTGATTCTATTCTGTCTGCTTGATATTGTATTGATATCGTAAGGAATAAATTCTATCTTGGTCACTCATCGGAGTTTAAGAGTTAAGAAAAATGGTTGTGAATCTGACTAGAAGAAAACAAAGTGCATACTTAAAAATTGTTTTGACTTTAAATTCATTTTAAACAACAACAAAGTAAGGTTAGAAATTTGTTATTAGCAAGTACATGTCCATGTTAATGGGCAAAAGTCTTCATTTTATTAATTCACATGTTCAACTTATTTGTACAGGTTTGATTTCTGTGTACCACCCACAGACAAGACATCACCAACAGAAAACCTTGGACAGGTTTGTAAATAAGCATGCATGTAGACCATGTTTTACATAGATGGTGTTCTTAGCTCTTTGATTTGCCCATATATATTTGCCTTATCGTGATCTAAAAAGGTTGTAAGAGCTGAAATAAAGATTGTCAGGAGGGAAAGGCACATTGTGTAATACTACTGACATATTATTCTGGTCAATGCATATTCTTTTTTCCACAGCAATATTCAAAAGTAGAAAGATAATTAATTTTTAGCTTGGAAATGATATGAAATTAATTTTCTGAGTGCCCATGAGGACATTCCAATTATGTGCCCCCAATGCTCTACCACTGAGCCAAAGAGACTCTACATGTGCTCTTCTCTTAGTCCAATGCTCCTAACAAGGCAAAATGACATCTTCAAATATTAAAAGTTGATGACATAGTTTTCAGCTGAGTGTGGAGTGATGGAAGTTTAGTGACCATAATGTGTTTTCATGACAACTGCCTCCGTTTTGGGTGGCAATGCTTTTTTTTACCTCCTGGTGGGCTTTCATATTTGACAGTTGGTGATACATGGCTCTTGAGATTCAGTCACCCTTGGAAACAAGGAATGTTGCCCTTGACAACATAATTTTTACAGTCAATTCCCTGTCACCAAATTTTTTCCATGCCTCACTCAATTGGGAATTTGAGTACTGAATATCTCATTTTACACAGCTTTACGCTTCATCCTTGAACTTAAAGCAGTGTTTCGCTTTTTTTACAGGTTGTTTTTGGAGAGAGGATAAGACCCTCCCTTTACAATGTAAGCAACAGCTTTTATTTACGGTCTTGTTTAGATGACTTCATGTTTATCTGGGCAATACACCAGTTAATATCTGGGTATATTTACTAGCTTTCTTCTGTTGTGTTTTAGTCAACTTTTCTGTGTTTTAATTGGTGTATTTTACATTCAATTTACATTTCCATAGTTTGGCAATCTTTGTTTATTTTTATTTGTTATTTGTTAATATGTTTGACAGATTACATTCAAGAAGGATGTAACATGTAAACAACTTTGCCCCAAAGAATACAAATCTGGCAATGCAGAGGATGGGAAGAAGCTGGAATTTTTAAGAAGTGGAATTGCTCTTAACTATCAAAATCATTGGTTAGTGTGGCTGCAGTCTCAACATCGTACTTATTGAATGACAATGTCTTGTTAGATTTCAGTATTAGATAAATAAATTTTTGATTGTTTGTCTCACAATATAAGAGTCAGGCTAGTCAATGATATTGATTACGACGTTGTTGCTGTTTATAACATAACAAACCATGGTGCTATGAATAGTGACATGCAAACTTTCAACCTTGTTGTGTGACAAAGGCCAGCAAAATCAGGTACTTATTCTATAGAGATGTTCTTTGTGTCATCTTAAACTTACTGTTTTCTTAAGCTGACTCTGCTATACATCTTTCTAATCTTTGCAGGATTATTGACAACATGCCTGTGACTTGGTGTTATGAGGTTGCAGATGAAGAAAGAAAGTACTGTTCCACAGGATTTCCTATTGGCTGTCATGTGTCAGAGGATGGACAAGCACGCGATGCCTGTGTAACAAGTGTAAGCATTTACAGATTTCTCAATTAGTATACTAATGGGCCTGGTTGTTTTAAGGTGGATAATGCTATCTAGTAGAGAAATCTCTGTCTGGTGGATAGCGCAGTATATTTTGTTTAGACTTACAGCCACTGGATAGAGATTTACATGTTGGATAGCAATTTACAATGAATGTGTTGGATAGTGTTATCCATCCTTTGAATAACCAAGGTGCAACCAAGGCCAGAAGTTTTCAATTGAGGGATAAAAACTGAAATTAAAGTCATCATTACAACCAAACAGAACAAAGGGGAAAATGATTTAAAATGTAAGTTCATGAAAAGTCACATTTAGACAGAGGCAAACGTCGAGAGGTGGGGGTTAATGACAAATCATGATTGGTTTTAGTTTTGCATCTGATTGGTTGAAAGGATGGAACAAAGGCTTTTTGACCAATCAGTGAGCAAACTGAAGGGAACCAGAACTAAAGCATTTCAGGTTTATCTTTGATGAATCCTCCAAAGTTTGCTCTACTTCCCATGTGTGGCATTGCAGCTCAGTTGGCAGTCGAGCCCATTTAGTCTTTACCAGGTTCAAGTTGAAAGCCTGGATGTTTTTTGTTTTATCTGTAATTTTGTTATTGGTAATTTAATTGTGAGAATTATTTTGTCCCTCGTTTATGTTTTTTGTTTCAGGCCAAGTTCAATGAACGTGGGATGCACTACATCTTTAATCATGTTGATATCGAGATCAAATACCATGATGGGTCAGGGGAAGACTGGGAAGGAGCTCGTCTGATGTCTGCAAAGGTCACTCCAAGAAGGTATGAACTGCACAAACAACACTGTCAGGGAGGGCCACAGTGGCCTTATGGTCCGTGTGCTGAGCTGGACTCTTGAGTTAAGAGGTCTGGGTTTGGGATCTGCCCTGTTCCTTGTGTACTGTTGTTGACAATGAACTCCCAATGTCAGGGAAACTTGTCAAAATGCTGGACAAGAATAACCAGCTATTGATTGGCACTTCATGCCGGAGATACTGGGATAAAACTCTTGCAGGAGTCACTTGACAAGAGTGCATGCTTTATTTGTTCTTTTTTTTACACCATAGTGCCTGAATGTTTTATACATGTATATGTCATCCAACTTGAAGCAATCTTGTAGTAATAAAAGTTGTAAATTTTAAGCTTGTAAGTGTATTATTGATGGATTTTTTTTGTCTTGACATGAGTTTGGGACAAAGAAAAGATCTGAGTTCCTTTTAGAAACCCAATGTCATACACCTGTATACTGTACTTGCTGGTTTTACTCTTTGAGGTTTGATTCCTCTCAAGGAGTCAGATGCATGACAAGACAAAAAATCCTCTATCCTTACACAGCAATCTTGTTCATTCTACAGTATCAAGCACGAGAAAGGCAAGGATCTGAAATGTGATGGTGATTTACCAGCCATGGGTTTTCCAGCTGAGATAAAAAGTGATGTTTACATTGCTTACACATACTCTGTTCAATTCCTGGTGAGTTTGAGCATTTAATATCTTAAACATAGTCTTTCCCAAAATCTCAGTAGTGATTCTCCCTGCTCTCTGCCATACATTTCTTATAGTTTTAGCTCTGAGAATTTGGAGGTGAATCATATGATAATTATCCTTTAGTAAATATTTTGGTTAGTTCTCATCACTTTAAGCTGGACAATGTATTGAAATCAGAAGGAGAAATCACTCCTCGATAGTGACCAAGACAGAATTTCTTCCTACATTATTAATACAGTATGATGCAGACGAGTGATGAGAATGAAGAATAATTATCAATCAGAGGATAATATTATTTGATCCAATGCCAAATCAGGGTGTGAAATTGCGCCTAATACAGGCACCAATGCGACTAAATTTTTCACTTTGGCGACCAAATCCTGAAAGTTAGTCGCCAAATTGGCGACTAGAACGTTTCATCATGACCTTACCAAGAGATATAGTGAATTAAAAAGATTTGCAAAGATAAATCCGAGGCAAACTTCCTTGTTAAGTTTGTTTCCAAAACGTAGCACATGCATCTCGATCGATAACTAGACGCCATCTTGGATTTAGATGAGCCTGAACGTTGTATATCATCCATCCTAATGTCCACTTTGTCGCACGTTAAAGATCTTTTCCCTTACTTAATTTTGGAGGGTCTATCTAGAACGCTGACAGCGTAAAGAAAGATTTTGTTTGTCTTTGAAAATGGTGACCAACTTTTTTTGAATTGGCTACCACTTTGAAGAATTTAGGAGCCAAGTGGCTATCAGAAAAAAAAGTTAATTTCACGCCCTGCAAATATTTAGAACTAACATATAAGAATTTTAAGGAAAGTAAGGAGAATTACTAATGAGATCTTGGGGTTGAAAGGGTTGAAATCTTAGTGCAGCTAAAATCTTGGAAAAACTGGATAGACAAGAAATATTTAGAATTTGTTTGTGTTAATTCTGGAAAGTCATAGATTTTGAGTGGGGCCAGAGATAGCAATCAAATCAACAGAACATGAGAATGCACAGGAAAGCACAAAATATTGTTTTCTAAGTAAATGGCTACTTTCACTTTCTAGGAAACCAACTTTTCAAACCTTTTTACAGGTATTATGTGGGCCATGAAAAATGCTAAAAAAGTCCAAGGATACTGTACCTTTTGGAAAGTGATGTTTCCAATTTTTTGTAAGGTTCTGAAAGGATACAAATGAAACTTTCCAAAAGTGACAGGAAAAATGCACTAAAACATACTTATGTGAAGATTATATTAATTTTACTACGCATTAGTTGAAAACTTTTTGCATTGAAGCATATTCTGTACTGGGTTTATGTCTACATGTGATATGCAAACTCCTTTCTTCACCCTCTCCTCCCCAAGGTTATTGTGGTACTTCTCTTTGTCCATGGCCTTGATGAGATCAAGCATTCCACTCTTGTGAAGAAGGGATCAGTGTTATTGAACTTGCAGTGGTATTTTTTTGTACTGAAGAGGAAATTTATTTTATTTTGCAGCCTGAGACTGATCCCAATCACAAATGGGCATCCCGTTGGGACTACATTCTTGATTCAATGCCACACACAAAAATCCAGTGGTTTAGGTAAGATAATTATACTCCACATGTACTAACATGGGGTACTATGGCAAGTAATTGAGCAGAGTTGTTTATCTGCAATGAGGCACAAAAGTGAAGAATAATTAGTTACACTGTAGATGCAATTGTCAGCTATGAGTTGATCAAGGCAGGGTTTCAATATCTTTTTCTATAATCCATTGCTGATGGCGCATTGTGTGGCTATATTGTAAGGTAAAATGCAAACATCAAAATATAAATTAAACAATATCCCCTTGTAGATGAGCTTCTTTCCTTCCATCATCTTTCTACTTCATAATGTATCGACAGTACAAGATGAATCCTCTTTGTAGTCTCTCTTTAGGGTGAAAGGGCTAAACTACATTTATATACAGTTGTTAGCAGATCATGTCACAAAGAGTCTTTGATTCAACTCAGAGACTTGTGTAATTTCCACTGGTAGGAATGCAAAGATGTGATGTTTTTTGCTACAGTCCTCTTGATGGCATTGATCCACTCTAACATGTGATCTTATTAGTGTTGTGATCTTTTGTCCTCAGCATCATGAATTCATTGGTCATTGTGCTCTTTTTGTCTGGAATGGTGGCCATGATTATGCTGCGAACTCTGCATAAGGACATTGCTCGTTACAATCAGATGGAGTCAGCGGTATGTAGTCAGATCTAAGATTTTAAATAGAGAAGTTGGTTGGTGTAAAATGAGACTTGTCAGAGAACCAAGTTCAATTTTTTTGGAAACATTTGAAGTTAACTGTTTCCAGCCTTAATACCTCTTACTGACAAAGTTTGGGGTTTATGCTTCAAGTTGCTGACTGTGTTTTTTTTGCCCCTCTGATTTATGACCCAACAGTAAATTTCTGAAGTGTTTATGCATAAGACCAGCACAGAAAACAATTTCTTGTAACATAAAATGGTTAGTACCTGTAAATCCTTCATGAAAGTCAAAACGAGTCAATTCAAATTGTTATTCAGTCATTAATGTGTGGAAAATTATATGAAAACAAAAGATCTAAACCTAATTCACCCCTGAAAGTTAGAAGCAATTGATGATAAATGAGACATAATTTTGCTAATTTAATGTTAAGTGAAATATAACCCACCGTATGGACCAATCATGGCATTCATAATAACTGAGAGATGAAATTAATATAATTTATCACACCTTTTGTAGGAGGAGGCTCAAGAGGAGTTTGGCTGGAAGTTGGTTCATGGAGATGTCTTCCGCCCTCCAAAGAAAGGAATGTTATTGTCTGTCATGTTGGGTTGTGGAACTCAGATATTTATTATGGTGTTTTTCACATTAGGTGAGATTGACTTAATGTATTTTTCCATGGCCTCAAAAGAATTGTATACATTTTCATTTGCATTACTGGGTATGTTTTTTCCCCTCTGGATGAGATTCCAGTCCTTAGCAAGTTACTGTGGCAGTTTGCTAGTACCCACCCTGAGTGGGGAGAGGCATAGCAAGAGGATGATGACTTGTCGGAGAATGTAACATTCTAATCTTGACCATTCGCCAACTACTTTTTTCTACCCTTGTTTGAGTTTGTTTCATTTTATTTTTGCTCATGTCATGGATCGGTTTTTTTTTTCCTCAACTACATGTATGTATTAACTCTATATTGAGTTTTTTAACTAAGGTGTTGTCTCATAGATTAAATCTTCTTTTGTTCCTCTTCAGTGTTTGCTTGTCTTGGATTCCTTTCACCTGCGAACCGTGGAGCATTGATGACTTGTTCATTGGTGAGTTGCTGCCTAACATTCTTTGAAAAAAAAAAAGCAAAAATCGTCAAAATTAAATGTACATGTAATGCCCTAGTATAATAGAACATCTCTTAAAAAATATTTTCCTAATCAGCAACCACTGCCATATTGTTGTGTTTGATATTTGTAAGGTAGCTGGTCAAACACCATTTTTCTAAATGCAGTGGTCAGTGAGTTTTGATTTTTTTTGGCCTAAACCTCCAACAGGGGCTATTCAGCACAGGTCACATGTAACTCTCTATACACATGTAACCTTCAGTTTGGTAAATATTGAGAAGAGTCATTTGGAATAAGTGTGAAAAAAGGCGTGAGTTTTATTTACTAAAATGTTTAAGAACCCAGCCAAAGAAGTTTACTGAAATGACATGTATATGTGTAGGTTAATAAGTACAATGTACATATTTTTTTATCTATATTTTTTTTTTTTTTGTAGGTGCTGTTTGTTTGTCTTGGTTCACCTGCTGGTTATGTTTCTGCCAGAATTTACAAAAGTGAGTGCCATGGATAACAAGTGTTTGGTGGTATTTTCAAGGGAGAAAATTACATGACATCATTGAAAAAATTTTTGTTTTTATACTTTTTTCTCAGTAAGGTAGATTTTGTCTTTTTCTAAAAGGTATTTGCTTGTTCGCAATTTTTTTTTAAGTTATGTAGAAAGAAATTAACTTTGTCTGTATACTGTACAACTGTTATGCAGCCCTTCTATGCATGCCCTATCATCCTTCAGTGTCCCTGTTATTCTGGGTGGCATTTTCCATTCAACAGAATTCTAATGGTGCTTTGTAAACTTCTTTTTTTACTGTTTAGTGGTTGGAGGAGAATTATGGAAGACCAATGTCCTGTTATCAGCGTTCTTTTTCCCTGGGTGAGTACTCGTTGATGCAAACATGAACACTACAGTATACAGCTGGAAAGAATGAAGTTTGGTGAAGCTGCTTCTTTTGTTTGTGACAGGAAGACTTTTCAGTTTGACTAGTAAAACTCAATGTAAGAGGTATTCACTGCAAAGATCTTTTAAGAAGGATTTGAAATTCTTAACATTACAATGTCAACTGTTAAAAATACTCAGCTTGTTAGCTACTCAAAGTAAGTCTAATGCCTTATTGCGTGAATTTTTGATTACAGTAGAAATGCATCTAAAAAGAATGAATCATCATTTTTATCATTGTCATCATCATCATTTCAATGATCTTTGTTATCATCTTTATCATTATCTTTATTGTGGTCTTCATCACAGTCAGTGTAATTGTCATTTTCAATATTGTTGCCATAACTATCACCCTTGTCGAATGTAATAACTTTTTCTTTGATTCCAGATTGATGTTTGGAATTTTCTTCCTGTTGAATCTTGTTCTGTGGTCAGAAGGTTCCTCGGCGGCTGTTCCATTCACCACTTTACTTGCCTTGTTAGCCATGTGGTAAGTCTAAACCTGAATCATTATCAGCCCATGAATCTGCGCATTTTATGAAACATGCAGGAAATGTTAATTTTTCCTTTTTCCTTTCTTACTCGATAGGTTTGGCATTTCAGTTCCACTTACATTCCTGGGGGCTTACCTTGGATTCAAGAAAAAGGTGATTACATAAACCGCTGATAATTAAGGTAGTAGTCAATATAAACATAAAGTCAGCCTCTTAGCTAGAAAACCCATCTGGCCAACACATATCCTGGTTTCCATAGCATAAACCCTAGACACCCTAACATTGGATCCATATTCTCCCAACTGTTCTCAATACATTTCCTCAGGTGTTGACTTGGAGAGTTTGTTCAAAAATCAAGAGCTTCTTTACTTGGTGATCATTTGCTTTATTCTCGTGACCTTCATGTTTGATTCAAGGGTGATATTGTAAGGAGAAATTACTTTAGATGCTTGTCATTCTCAGGAGTTAATTAGTTAAGCGATTTGGGGTATTGTTTCCTCTTCCCTCTCTTAGACGAGATGCCAGTATGCGCGGGTTTGCTTTTGGCGTTTTTTTTCTTTTTTTTATCAGGTTCCTTTAACAGTTTCTTAATACTCATTTACGCTCCTAAGTGAAGAGAAATGCTATGATAGTAAAGTTTCTTGCTCAAAAAGGCATTATGAAGACCCTGCCTTGGCTCGAACCCTGACCTCTCGGTCCTTTAGACCTTTGACACCTTCCCATGTCAGTACAATTATGGATTCTGAAGAATGTTTGTTTTTTCCTTTAGCCAATTGAGCAACCAGTTCGAACCAATCAAATTCCTCGTCAGATTCCAGACCAGGTAAGTACAATTACGGACTCTGAAGAATACAGAGCACCTCAAGTTAGAGGTTTACAATCTAGGTGGTTCCACAGGTCAGTTCTAATTCACACACTACCTTTGCCTTAACCATTTTATATTAGACAATGATTCATTTATATCTTGAATTAAGATAACGACTGAATGTCTATTTTAGCGAAGTTTTCAATTGAGTGTCGAAAGTAATTCGGGATTTTGTTCTTCCTCGCTCCTTGATTGGTTTAGAAAACTCGCGCCTCTCCATCAACCAATCAGATCCAGAACTAAACGCAATCACGACTTGGTAACCCGCGTTTTCCCGCGCGTTAAGCCTGGGTTTTTATTGGCTCTTGTTACTTCGACTTGGTAACCCGCGTTTTCCCGCGCTTTAGACTTGAGCTTTATTGGCTCTATATGGTAACTTCTTTCCTTCTGATTGGCCGTTGCGATTACGGTGGTTTTGCTGTTACGTTACTAAATCAGAAAGCGCCTTAGTGCTCTACATGTAATAGATTTGTATTAAAATCATTAAGATATTGTCTCAAAATAAAATATTTTTGTCTTGCAGAGTATTTACACCAGAGCAGGACCAGGAATCATCATGGGAGGTGTTCTTCCGTTTGGGTGTATTTTTATCCAGTTGTTTTTTATCTTAAACAGTATTTGGTAAGTCTCTTTATATTATGAATTATGGAGATTTTTACCTAAATTTATGTTAAACCGTTAGATTTTTCTCCTTTTTTTTCTGTTTGCGTGTAATTTGTTACAGCCCCTTTACGTTTTTTACAAACTCGTAAAGCAGACTGCCTTCCTGACAAGCAATTAATATATTTGTAGGAGTATCAGGCGAACTTGGATGATGCAAACTGTATTTGAATCCAAATGTTCTTCTCCAAATTCTGCCATACATATATTTTGTCGTGCAAAAAGCTATTTTCTTCTCTATTGTAAGGAAAAGTCTTAACAATTTCATGTGAACACGCAATAATACAGACAGCCTCCTTAAATTCCACTTTTATTGTATAAACTTCTTGAAAAATACTCGCTTATTTATTTTTAGTTCGGATTATCGGGTGACCCAACAAAACGGTAGTTCGATGCTTCATTTTAGTTTGAACTGTCAGTGTGAGTGATTTTATTGCTTTTTTTCTGCATCAACCAGGTCGCATCAGATTTACTACATGTTTGGTTTCTTGTTTGTGGTTTGTTTAATTCTACTGTTGACCGTGTCAGAGACCACCATACTGTTGTGTTATTTCCATCTTTGTGCTGAGGTGAGGAAATTCATGTGGTTAAATTCGAACCAAAACTAGTCTTTCCATGGCTGTTTTCTTCACAGTTATGGGAGGGAGCGCGAAGCGATCGCGTGTGAACGAGCGCGGAATTATCCCACCCTTAAGGGTTCACGTAGGTAACTCCCTAGCGGCTTCTTTTGCGCCCAAACATTGGACAATGATCGAAATGAAAACAGTGATCTTCGAGCGGACCACACCAAAATTTTACTTTATCGTACGGTGCTTTATACACCTTAACATTTTGCTTTCGTACATTCTAGTCACCCTTACATTTCTATCTTTTATATTTTGACATTCAACACGCTTTCTCGTTCGTGGCAATTTTGAAGCAGAGAAAATTCTTGTTACGGTTGGAGGCGAAGCTGTGGCTTTCACTACTAGATAGAGCTTCTCTATGCATTAGGGTTACATTCGTGTTTAGTATCCGTGAAAGCTTAAAACAGTTCCCATGTACAGTGAAAGACCTGGTTTTCCTTGGTGCAAGTAGAAAGAAAGTCCACGAAACTTCACCTCTCGCCAGCGTGCGTTTGTAAGTTGTTCTGTCTCGCGGGTGCCAATCCCAAACGTCTACAGCACGCCAGTACGCGCATGCGGTGTGCTATTCAACACGCTTTCTCGTTCGTGGCAATTTTGAAGCAGAGAAAATTCTTGTTACGGTTGGAGGCGAAGCTGTGGCTTTCACTACTAGATAGAGCTTCTCTATGCATTAGGGTTACATTCGTGTTTAGTATCCTTGGAAGCTTAAAGCAGTTCCCATGTACAGTGAAAGAACTGGTTTTCCTTGGTGCAAGTAGAAAGAAAGTCCACGAAACTTCACCTCTCGCCAGCGTGCGTTTGTAAGTTGCTCTGTCTCGCGGGTGCCAATCCCAAACGTCTACAGCACGCCGGTACGCGCATGCGGTGTGCCTCGTGTCGTATGTTCAAAACGAAACTTCATCCATTCTCTGCAATATTCGGAACTCAAAACTTGTCGATGTAGTTCTTAAATACGATCTTGTTAAGCGAAAAGTCAGACTGTAAAGGGACTCGAGCCATAACTAGATCCTTTCCCACTGTTTGTGTATTTTTAGTGCAACTTATTATAGAGTGTCCCTAACAGTAATGTTTCGCTTATTTTCAACGCTTTACTCGATTGCAGGATTATCATTGGTGGTGGCGTTCCTTCCTAACTGGCGGATGTACTGCAGTGTATTTCTTTCTGTACTCGATTCATTTCTTTGTCACCAAACTGACCATCACAGGAACAGCCTCCACCTTCCTGTACTTCGGCTACACACTGATCATGGTGTTGATCTTCTTCCTTTTCACTGGTAAGTGCGTCATGGATCCTTGCCGTTGTGATTGGTATTCTGTGCCGTTGTAATTGGTAACTTGTTCCAGGCTTCGGGGTGGCGGTGACTCAAGAACTAGAGTTACTTTCCACTGCGCCTTGAGCAACTCTTACGCAGCTTTCGAGGTCTCCAAACTTCCCGCATGCATCCATAGACTCCAAACAAATAGATTCCATGTTGCAGTGCGTCTGTTCGGTAATAGATCACAGAAGGTGTCAGAATGTGGTATGAACAAAACGTGGTACACGGGGCGCAGCTAAGTGTGTCAGTGATTTCCCAAACGCATTTTGACCTTATCTTTTATCTATCACTGAACGGACCCAAGGCAACATAGAATTTATTGTTATATATGATAAAGAGCACCATATCGTCGATGGTGACGTCGTCTATGTGTATGAACCGATGAAGATGTGTGTTTAATTCAGCTTTTCATGTAAACCACGATACTTGCACGTTGAGTATGGACCAATCTTTGAATATCAATATGGCGAATTCTGTGCCAAACTTTTATGCCTTTCATTTAAATCTAAAATCGCTTATACCTTTTCCCAGGTACTGTGGGATTTTTCGCCTGTTTCTTCTTTGTGAGAAAAATCTACAGCATCGTCAAGGTAGACTGAGAAACCCGATGGAAACTTTGCTATTTATGGATCGACAAAAGTATAGTGGAAATATTTGAACCTTAGCCAGCCACAACAAGAGACTAATGGCGAAGGTTGGGCTGGGAAAAGTCACTATTAGGATCTTGGTGGTTCCATTTAGTTGTAATTCAGAAGTCAAGGTATCAACCTCAATTGAAATTGTTACCTCCTTGTTCTTTTGTGTTGGAAAAAGTAACGAGCACACAACACGAACCAAATATGTAAATCTTAAAGTTGAAAAAATGTTTCATATTAAATAATTTCGTGGGATTATTTTTCTGCTTGGCAATATGACGTATTAGCGGAGCTCGCAGCACGCGCGCAGTGGAGCCCCAGTACTAAGTAGAAATAGTAGCAGTCCATCAAATCGAATTTTAGCTGGTAATTGTAATAATTTTGGTTGCTCATTTGTGGAGAATACTCAAGAAAAGATAATTTATTGTTCAGACTATTTTAACTCGTTTATAACCTCCGTGAGACACGGACACGGGGCGAAGTTGTCGGAGCTGTAGTTATCAGTCTGCTTGAAATACTCTTGCCAAGAACTTTACTGAAAGAAAATTTCTTATCCATGATGGCTGCTCATGTGAGCCAACGATTTCAAAGCGAAGAAACTTACCAAACGTGACGTAATTCATTGCCATCATGGTGGTTATCGTGATTGGATGTGACGAAATAAAAACCTTTTTCGACTAAACTTTAAAATAATATACATGTGTTAATTTGGGGGGAAAGTTGTTTGTCGAGTGACTTTCAAGCAGCCATTTCGTTTTAGTGGTTAAAGGTAGAACAAGAGATTTCACAGCTTCAATCCGACTATGGTTAGGTATTTTTAAGGTTGTAAGAGGAAGGAGGAAGTGATATCACTTGTTATAAATTTAAGGATGTTCATCTTAGTTTTGTAGTTAACTATGGACAGTTTGCTGTGAATATCCCAGTTCTTTTCTGAAGCCTTAGGGCAACATAATGGAAGGTACCGTGTGGAGTCCAATGTCGTAACATCGAGGTGCACGGTGTACAAGGCGATAGCTAAAAGGAGTTTCAACTTGGGGTAAATTATTTTTTCCTTGCTTGGAAAATTTCATGTAAATTGAAATGTGAATGTCTTATACTTTGTGCACAGTTTGATTTTGCTTAATCAGCTGTTCCTTTTTTTTCCATAATACCTCACGGTCGATGTATTAACTTCAACTTAAAAGTAAAGACTTTCTTACAGTATTTTCTGGAATAAAACCCACAAACTCCTAGATTTATTCCTCATATTCGGGATTATTACGTTTTCGCAGCTTGACGTTTCTGTTCGCTTAAGATATGTGCGGATTGCGTAGTTGGTGTAGGAATCTTTCTATGTAGCAAGCTTCATCGAGGGAAAACTTATGTAAACCTAATTTAATTATTTTAAGTTAAACAACACTTCGTAGATATTCCTCATGATCATGTTTTCTTTCTTCATTCTGGTTATATAAATTTTTAGTAGTGAGTAGAGTGTTATCCAGAAAGCTAAAGCTAGTTTCTGAGTTCCAAGAGCCCTCGCTTCCAAAACGAGGCGTGGCTTAAAAACTTTATCTGTAAAGTAAGTTTTACTTGCATGATAATAACCTATCATTTTTCTACCCCCGTTTTAAGATGAAGGCTTGGAGCATCTCAGAAATGTTCTCTTTAACAAAAGTAAATAAACACGCACTTATCAACTTACCGTGATTTGTTCCTTTAAATAAGAACTCCTGTAAAAGTGTTTTACCGACTCTTAGGAAAGTGATTCGTTACTGGTTTTTTTTTACTCCTTTCTCACAGGCCTCTTCTATTCTTACACTATCATCTTCACCCTTCCTCCCTAAATTTCTTTGTTTTTCTTAAGTGCTCTACTATTTAGTGCGAACCTCCGTCCGTTTTTTTTCTTTTTCCTCAATCCTCCTTGAGTTCTGACTTCTGTTTTGACCCCTTTGAGATGAGGAAATTGTTCGTCACCAACGGAACTCCCCTTTTTCGGTCGAAGGCAAATTCTTGCCCGTCGAAAGAGCTGTGACCTTGAAACCAAAGCTATGTCGTTTTGATTTGCTAATCTCGTGGTGTTAGCAGGTTTACATAACGAGGCAGGAAAATTAAGTCGCTAAGAGGAAAAAATTGCCTTGGAAACTTCTTTGTTCAAATAAAGCTTTTTAATATTGCATAAGTATAGTTAGAACCTTAAAACTCTGTCTGAAAACTTACAAGGCAATAAAACCGCGGTGAATATTTTAAAGAAATTGACCGGTCGGCTCACAACGGTGTAAAATCTAGACTTTGGGCAGTCTCCCTCTCCTCGTGTTACTAAACCTAGAGGCAGTCCTTCTCTCCCGGCGTAATTCTTCAGGTAGGTAAAGAGGTTTCAGTGAAAAAAACCTCAAGCTCTATGCTTGAGCGGCGGATTACACGGCGAAAGCAGAACATTTCACTATCATTACATGAATGGGTTCTTAGAGTCTCCAAAGAGTACTTGTCAAATCTTAAAAAAAATTAAAACATCTAGTTTACAAAAACAGTAAAACTGCACTAAAGTAAGGTCTTTAAAGGTCTTTTAACTCTGTACACAAACAACGTTAATAAATATTACAATCACTAATCCAAATAAGGCTGTCTGTCTTGTAGCGGTGCACTCAAAAAGCTGTTTCGAGAGAAGAGTCTTCTTCCTGTGATGGAAAAGTGGAAAAAAAATAACGATTGATCTTTGGATTGAAATGTTGTAAGCGGTGAACTCTGATTATTGTTTTGTTTTTCTTGTATATAATCCCCAGTTTCTATAAACTTTGATCCTTGTGAGTAACTAGCATCTACTTCCTCTTTACGGTATCGCCCCTGAATCACTTAATAAGGTCATGAGAACAAAGGAAATGATCACCAACTAAAGAATCTCTTGATTATTCAACGAATTCTCCTTGTCAGCACCTTAAGAAATGTGTGAAGAACAGTATGGAGAATATGCATACTGATGTCAAGGTGAAACAGTAAGGGGTTAAAGGACTCCATGAGATGTCGAAAATTTTGGATCGATTATGGCATCGGAGCCCTTCCACTGAACAACGGTAAAGAGAGCTCTGGAGACGAGATTGGCGGAGTATCGACAAGAATGCACCGAATCTACCAAAGATGACACCACTAGACTAGAAAGAAAACCCATTCTTTTTAGCCCAACCCTGACGATGATGCCCAAGGAAAAAAGACTGGTGGCATAAATGCGGAAAATGTTTTACAAGGTAATTTATCTTCGCTTTTCTGCCGACAACTACTCTTACCGTCTCTTTCTCTTCCTGTGAGTCAACGAAGAAATCATCGGGTAGCTCTTTCTTTTCCCTTCTCACCCGAGTTGGCGCTGTCTATTAATGAGAAAAAGTATATACACGAGAACAAATCGACAAGCGAAGAAAGAGAAAAAGAGGGTTTCGTCACAGAATACGAGACAACCCAAGGCCAAAGCTGAACTGTTACCATTAGTCTGAAATAGCCACCTAGATGTTTTAGACAATACTGATTAACAACGGAATTCGCCATTTAAACGAGCCGTTCTGCTCATTGAATCGATTGCATCCTAAGTTTTCTTTTCCCTTTTAAAGAGACTAAACGTAATTTAAGCAAGGTTGAAATTAAGCCAGTGCAAGGATTTCACCTGTCAGAAGCCCCCTTCTCCCCCTCTTCCCTCCCACCTTCACACACCACTTTGTGTTCAAAGGTGCTTAGTAAAGGGTACTGGCTTGGTTGCCATAGCGACCTCCTTACTACTCAGGAGACCGTTTTCATTCCCCGTTGTTACCTTTACAGCACACAGCCTCCGAAATAATCATCGAAGTGTCTCTCTCTCTTCGTGAGGTGAGAATTTGTCTCTAAAGCATTATCATTGTTCTTACCTGTTTTCCCTTGTCTGTTTCGTCTTCACTCTCGTATTCTTCGATTTCATCCTCGTCCTCGATATCCTCAAGACTCGTGCGGCTGCAAAATACGACGAAATAAACATTTTGCCTTGAATTTAACCTTTCTCTTGAATTCGAGGATCATTTCGAAAGCGGCACCTTTAGATTTACAATGAAGGCATAAGTGACGCACAAACGACCAACCGATCAAACGAGGGACCGACGAACCAAACGACCGATCGACCGACGGTCGATCAAACCAACGACCAGACGAACGGACAAAATATCAACAAAACCGACCGGACGCACGAACGAGCAACCGAGCAACCGATCAAACGAACTATCAAACGAACGAGCGTTTCATTTCCAAACAATCCGTACTTACCCGATTCCTGATGTATCCTTTTTACTGTAACTTATTCGAGCCTTTTTGCTGTCTTGTCGATGTGTCTGACTTGATAACCACGATCTTTGAGATGATGTAGGAAGACTGAGGAAGACAACACGAAACTTTCAATCACAATTACATTACAAAGAGCACCTGTCACCGTGAATCCAGGCGACATCGGTATTCATGCACAGGCTGTGCAGAATGTCAGAATGTATGGGAGTAGACCAGTGTTTTTCCTTATTTTAGGCCAGAAAGGTAAAATAACTTTTTCAAACCAAGCGATTTTGGCGGGAAATAAGGCGGTAAATTTTACCGGTTATCGCCTAAACAGGACAGAACTAGAGCAGATGTGACCTTATACAGCACGATACCTTTCAAAATCCTGGTCATCGTTGTCTTGTTCTTCATCTTCTTCCTCGTCAGACTGTGATGTCTCCTCTCGCTTTCTTTTCACTGGTCCTTGTTTCTCAGCAGTAGACGCTTCCTCTGTATCGTCAACTTTATCGGTCGATTGGTTTGGTTTCTTCATCGAAGACAATGGAGCCTGGTCTTCCTGTGACCATTCTTCTGAACCTGACGAAATGGCGTCATCGTCATCTTTATTGTTATCATCACCAGCTTCTGACTCTTCCACAACTGGTGTGACAGGTTTCGCTGGTTTTGCCGTCGAGAGTACAGTTTGTTGTGCTGTTGAGGTGGTCGACTTCGGAGGCCGTCCACGCGGGCCTTTCGGTTTCTGTTGTTTAGTCTTTGTCTTAGTTTGTTTGGATATCAATTCTCCTTCTTTACTCTCGTCTCCTGAAGGAAAGAAAGCAAAGGTTATGGCAAACGTGTGGCTCCGGCCGTTTAATACTGGAGTGAAAATACTTGGGAGCAAAGCTTACCTTCCATGGGAAGTTTTCTCTTTGCGCGACTTCCTTTTTGTTGTCCTTCAAATACAAGAGATTCGTATAAGACGTTTATCAAGTGTATCTGTCAGTCTGTCTGTCTCTACCTATCTGCTTATCTGTTATTCCCTGTCAGTCGCACAGCCTTTCAGTGCACTCTTCTGTCTAGTAGTCTTAATATGATAATGCTAATCGATCTGTCTTTTTGTCTGATTCTGGGTCTCTAAGTCTTCCAGGATTTGCCGTTCGTCTGTCATTCCACGTCTAGGTCCACTAGTCTTTCAGTCTCTGTCTATCTGTTAGTCTGAGAGTCTACCTCTTACCCTTGAGGCCTACGTCTATCAGCCTGTAAGTCAACTCAAACACGAAACTAAGACACCTCATAGCAGTAGAGAACGTGATAAAGAATAGAGATTTTTTACTTGAATCTCTTGCAGCAAATCTCACTTGCCGCTTGATAAATAACGTTTGTTTTCAGGCTTGACAACATCGCACCTTGCTAACTTAAACCCAGTTCTCTCGACACTTCCCCATAATGTCCCAGAATCAACAGTAAGACTTGAGGAAATTCTGCATTACTTATCTTACTCATTGTTTTAATGTAACAAATTTTTCCCAACTCCTCCCCAGCCTTGAATATTTTTGTTTCCCTCGCAGAGACCAGCTAGGCTATCACCGAAAGAACTTATTTTAGTGAATGTAATTTTCAAATTTATGACATCACGGGCTCCCTCCATACCTTCTTCTTCCTCGTCCTGTCCAGTCAAGCCGTTCCTGTATGATAGCAAAGGACTCCACTGACCTCCCTTTTTGTGAATCATCTCTTTGGCATTTTCATCCAGAAATGATAATCTGCAATTGGATAACAACAGGTTACAACCAAGACCTTACCATGAACCAAAATGCTGAAAGAATTTTCAATCTTCAGTGTTTTCTAGATTACCCCTTGACAAGAGCAATATTGAAATAGAAAGATTCACACGATGTCAAAGTCATTTTTAGTCGATTAATAATGATTTCACTGTTATTACGTTTTTCCATTAAATTCTTTTTTTTTTTTTTTTTTTTCATTATAAAGCGCTTTTCGATTGAGTGCCGTAAAACCAAAATTAAAGTCAAAGTAATTATAATGGCAAATTAGAAGAAAGGAAATACTATGAAGAACCAACGAGAACTCAAAGTGAAACCAAGCAAACTGCCTAAAGCGCGGGAAAAGGCGGGAAAAGGCGGGAAAAGGCGGGAAAACGCGGGTGACCAAGTCGTGATTGATGTTCATTTTGAATCTGATTGGTTGAGAGTGGTGCGGGTTTTCTGGACCAATCATAGAGAAAAGTAAAGCAAAACTAAACAAATTCCGGCTTCCTTTCAACACTCAATTGATAACTGCGATATCGTTCCCACACCACAATTCTAAATCTGGGTATAAATTATTACACTTACACGCCACTTTTTCCTGCCTTGTCTTGAGCAATCAACTTGAAAGTAAATTCGTTTAACACGTCCAAAAACTGAAGATTGCATGGTGGTTCATCTTCACCCTTCTGAGCATCTCCATTTCTAAGACTGTACTTGATACCTTCCCTGTACACAAAGAAATCAATCAAACAATGACATAAAAGTCTGCACTCAAGTCAAGTGGCTCATCCCTGTTTTTACGAGTATAAAGTGACTATAAGTTTTCCTAATCGCCCTGGATGGGCTGCCAGTCCATCGGAGGTTACCCCCCGGCATTTCATCAGGCTTCCCAGACAGTACAATTACACCCGTTTATACTCCTGGGTGAAGAGAGGCACCGTGAGAGTAATAAGTCTCTGAAGAACGCAAAACATTGGCCCCACTAAGTCTCTAACCCAGACCTTTCGACCGAGAGTCTAGCGCGTTAACCTTAGACCCATCGCGCCTTCACACAAGCAGTGACATTGGAATCGAAATATAGCGTAGCTGTAACAAAAATACACTTTGAGGCAACAAACCTGTGCAAAGTTACAACACACTCCCGAGACTGAGGCTTCGTTGTGTCCACGCCGACTGAGAGCGCGAACCTACGAGCGAGTTCCTACAGAATGGATAGAAGTAATTATCCAATAAATAAAAATAGAACCGTATGTTGAAAACAGTTGAATCATGTCAACCCTTTGACCCTTCAAGGATGACTAGCATCTAATTTCTCCTCACAATATCACCCTTGAATCAAATATTAAGGTCAGGAGAATGAAGAAAATGATCGCTAACTAAAAAAGCTTTTGATTGTTAAACAAATTCTCCCTGTCAGCACGTTAGGAAATGTATAAAGAACAGTACGGAGAATATGCATACTGATGTTAGGGTGTTAAGGGCTGAGGCACATACAGCCTCAAACTTTAAGATGTGGCTGAAACGTCACATCCTTGTATAAGTATCTTTACAGTTTACGACTTGGTAGCTACGATTTTTTGCCTTCATTGCGGTAAATGTCTGAAGAATATTCTAAGGGTTACGATGAAAGTAAGGGAGGTTTCCAATTTTTGCCTAGTATTTGAAAAAAACTACCTTGATTCCAGCAAATTCCTTTGAGTTCGTGTCTGCAGTTCCGTCATTGTCATCTTGCAGTTTTTCAAACTCTTGTTGAAGACTCAGAAGCAAGGCTTTGGCAAAAGCTGAATTACTGATATCTCGGCATTTTGTCATAGTATGGCGAATGATATCACCATAGTTGCTGTATGCCTGTACACGAGAGACAACATTCAGTGGGTTTGTTTGAAGCTGTAACTAATTACCGAATAAACTGTTCTGCACTGTGCTGTTTATTTTTCAAACGAACTTCTTAATCTTAGCAGTGATATAGTGTAGTGCGCCTGTTAAGAAACAAACAAAGCTACACTAAGAGCTCCTTGTTCAACTCTTTGTGAGTAGCGTAAAGGTCAGTGAAAAATGATGTTACTCAGTGGATTGAACGGGCATACTCAAAAAATTGTGCTCCTAGTAGGCGTCGACCCTAAGACCTTCTTCTCTACCACTAAGCTTTAGGCGACTCGTGGTAGGCTGGGCCGATTTTTTCATACTGCTATGATAAGATGTCGACATGTGATGCTTTTTTGCGTCGATGATGTAAATTATCTGATGATTTTAAGTGAAAGATTTCTAAGAATATCACACGTCATGCACGTTTTCATACCCTGATTAAGAATGCGAAAATGGGAGAAACCAGCTTCATATCAATCACATTATAAGCGACGAGTTTACAGAATCCTGCCAGAACTGTTCTCTTTTTGCTCAACTCCAAAGCACTGCTGTCTGTCTGGTCCTCTGTCGGAAACAAAGTATGTGAGCAAAAACTCGTTCATGGAAAGCTGGGATAAGCTCCGAGGGTGACGTGCAGAGCCTTCAATAAAAGCCGTTGGCCGGCCAAAATCGCCAGCTAGTCTGATAATTTCACCTGATTTCGCTATGATTACTGATAAAAAACTGTAAATTTATGAAAAGACTAACGAAGAAATTTGCACCACAGCATTCCCCATTTTTTTGAGCGGAATTGAATGCAAAATTAAGCAGTGACAGGTTTAGATTTGTGGATCGATTCCACGTTTAGAATTTTCTTTAGGATGTGCATTCTTTGTGGAACACATGGAACATTTGAACTGAAGAGCTCCCAGAGGTGGTGCTCCCCTAGAGGCCCGTAGCATTCAACACGTTTTGATTCAACCATGATATCAGATGTTTCTTAAAACTTAAACCCCTAAGAGAGACTAGCAACTAATTTCTCCTTACAATATCACCCCTGAATCAAGCATCAAGGTCATGAGAACAAAGGAAATGATCACCAACTAAAGAAACTCTTGATTGTTCAACAAATTCTCCTTGTCAGCACCTTTGGAAATGTATAGTGAACAGTGTGGAGAATATGCAATCTGATTTAGGACGTAGAGATTTAAGATATCTCACCGTCTTCATCCTCTGCTTCGTCCTCGTCTAAGTCCGTGAACACGTGACTGATGACGTAATCTCTGAGCCTCACTTGAGTGGTGTGATCAGCTTCATATACCAAAGGCGCCAGAATGGGGGCTGGAACATAGCGATAGTAAAAAAGATATGTTTGGGATCAGCCGAAATAGCACCAACAACAAGATCATGCAATCAAACGAGTCACAAATTAATAAAGGGGTAAGTTTCTAAAGAAACTATGGTGCTGCGTCGGTGGGAGAGTATAGCAGGTAATTTAGTGTTAACAACTGGGTTGAAAACGTAAATTAGCCACCGTAAAGGATAAAAAAAAGCTGACGTTTCGAGCGTTAGCCCTTCGTCTAATCGCTCTGTCACAAATTACCTCTGTTCTTTAACTGCTTGGCAAAAACGATCAGCAAATCACAGATACAACAAAATGCCTTGAGGACGAAAAGGAAAACACAAGTTGAAAAATTTTACAGATAAATTCTTCCATGTGATAAAAAAATTAATGTGTAGATGGGTTAAATAACAACTGACCAAAGATCAGAAATGAATATAGGGGTAAGTTTCTAATGTGGGAGAGTAGAACAAGTTAATTTGGTTGTAGAAACTAAGTTGATAATGTGAATTGGTCGCCGCAAAGAGTTTATAAAGTTCATGTTTTGAATGTTAGCCCTTTGTCAGAGCGAATGACGAAGGACTAACGCTCGAAACATAAGCTATAGAAACTCTTTACGGTGACCGTTTAACAAAATCAACTCAATTGATAAGGCAACTTTTTATACATTATGACATGCCGTTAATCAGTCCACCATCATTAAACAGCAGGTATTTCTTGACTTACCACTCTCTGGACAGAATCTGTACTGAACTGTATGAGCTCGTCACAGTTTGACATAAACTGATTCACTCTCTTTTTCAGGGTGCGCATCTCATGCTGGGAAAGGAAACATACACGTGGTAAGGTCACGTTGAAACGGGGTTGGAAGGAGAGGGTGGGGTGGGGAGAATGCCCCACTTGAACCCAATTGCTGAAATACAACAATGAACATTCGTCACGAAAGAGAAAAAAAGAAGATTTAAAATCTAACCTTATCCGGTTCGTTAACATCTATCTCCGTAAGACTCCAAACAAGTAACATCTGCATGCTTAAAAAGGTCAGCTCCAATATCTGTTGTATCAGAAACAAAAAGTCAAAAATCCATAGTTGACAGTCATTGTTAAGTTGAGTTCACACACATAACTCTCTTGATGGGAAAAAATAAATATTGTATTACAGGTTTTACGACCCAGCTGTAAATTCCACCAACAAAATAACAAAAAACACCTAAAACAAAAAGGACAGCAATAAAACAAAGCTAAGGGAAAAAAAAGTAAAATAAAACAGACACCAAAATCGCATTGTGATAGCATGCAGACGGGAACAGGGATAGGGGCTTGTGATAATAGGGGACCGGAGGGGTATGGGAGATTTAAGGCGGGAAGGATACACCAATGACAGCGCGCCAAACACACCAAGCGCGCCAAAACACACCCAGCGCGCCAAAACGCCAAGCGCGCCAAAACACACCAAGCGCGCCAAAACACACCAATAGCAAGAAACTAAGGTACTATAAATAGCGACACGTAATCTTTCGACCTCGTTGCCTGACGAAGACTAGTAGTACACGAGTCGAAACGTCGCGATGAATACACTAGAGAGCCTAATCCTACATCGATGGACAAACGATTAAACGTTCATTTATCAATAAAACCACGATGAACAACCAAATTTTTTTATGACAAAGACGACTTGCCTACCTCGTCTGGTACGGTGTGCTTTGCAGAATAGTCAATAATGTATGACAAATCATCGTAAAGGTCCCATTTATTGAGATTGTGGGATCTGCAATAACAATTGTATCATCATATCTCTCAGTTAGTACTTGTGCTACGATTGGTCAATTCAGCAGGCCGTATTTCAGTGTACGACCCGCTAAATTCAAAACTTTGTTTGAATTGAAATCGTCTCCCGCCAGAGATATAACAAACATCTCACCACCTTCGTTTTCCAGGTCCTTGCTGCAAGTTATGGATTTTTTCCAGCTCGATTTATGGCCCGCGCCCTACGCGCATGGGCCATAAATCCGAGAGGAAAAAACCCGGTTCGTAACTCTCATTATGGACCTCGAACTCGGTTAGTAATGGGTATATTCTTTTGACTCAACTTAATCGCATGAAATTCTATACTTACAACAGTGAAAAAACTGTATTGAATCTATCATTTACATGTGTAACAATATATGACCGGATTTTCACTGCATCTTCAAATTTCTTTGACAAAGAAACTACACAGTACATGAAGTTTGCAGACACAGATTCATGTTCGCTTCAAAACCACGAATTTCTTGCCAAAATTACAAGAAAAATTCAGGATTGTTTTTGCCCGACCGAATGTACCTCTCTTCCTTTAAAATACCCTCAGTAAAAGAAATCTTTCGTAGACTTTCAGGGGATAAAAAGGGTCTTAAAGCAATATCTTATTCTATCCTAAATTGGACAAAAATTGATGTTTTCTTATAAAAAACTACAAGGAAACGTACTTAAAGAAAGATGCAATTCTTGCCAGATTAACATGGAGAGCAAATCTCTCTTGATTGTCTTCGTCTGCTTCATCCTAACAAAACAAAACAAAAAACATTGACAAAGAACACGACGAAAACTTGTACATGTAATGTTTCCCAAATTTGCAGTTTAAAGAACGTAGTGTACATTGAATGACTGAAACGTCTCTCAACTGATTGACAAATTTGTCTACATTCATCACCTCTTCATTGAAAAAGTTTAGAAATTGAATAACAGTCATTAAATGTTAGGAAAGTGAGGATTTTGTGGCAGATTTTAATCAAGATATAACTATGCAAACATTTTCGAGAAAAATTTAGAAGAACCGAAGAATACTTACTGCGTCAAGACCACTCTTCACGTTTTCTTTGAATTTGGCCACAACTGAATCAATCAGCTTGTTTTTGGCCACATCCTAGAGGGCAAGAAAATCAAGATAAAGTTATTTATGCATTTCGAGCTAAAAATAATTAAAATGTTAACGATACAGTGCAAAATGCAAGAAGATCACACAACTGCTTGTGCACAGGACACCTATCCACTTACAGCTGAAGAGGCCAAAGTGAAGTCATTGTCCGTGAGTGTTCTTAAGCTCTTCCCACATTCATCCAAAACCTGCAAAACGAAAACAATAATCAAGCATTTTTTGATGAGGAAGGCATTGGTTCCATTAACAACCGGTTACTGTCAGTCTACCGTCGCCTGTAAAACCAGGCTCTCGTGTTTGGATTTTGCCTCATGGCTCAGCCACCAATTACACCATCGACAGCCGCTAATGAAAAAAGTTATTGAAAGCCCTGGAAGGAAGCTCAAGTGCAAAGATATACGTCAAGTTCTTGATGGACTGAAATACAGCACATAAATTACAGTTACACTGTACATTAAAAGCAAAGTTTCTTCACAATTTCTCGCAGTACTTACGTCCACATTGGAGTGTTTCTCCACTATTTCAGAAAGTTGTTTCAGAAGTTCATCCAAATACTGGAAATTGCAAATAAAAAAAGGTCATAATATTATTCACAAACAAAAGACCCAGAATACGGGTTTGAATATCTACAAACCTTTCCCAATCTCCGCTGTCCATACTCCTCCAGATCAAAGTACTGAGGAAGTGACACCAGGTTTATGACGTTTTCAATGTCAGTTCCGAACTGTAACAAAACAAAAAGTATTACAACATAGCTAGTGATAAAAGATTAAAGTGAAAGTAAAGTCTGTATTTCAATTAAGCGGCGAAAAAAAAAGGCATTGTATTAGTGTAGTTTGATCGTCCGGGTGAGTGTAGTCCTGAGAAGGATTGTTGTCGGTAGTGGTGTCTAATGTTTCGACAACCTGAGCGGAAGTCATCATTGGAGTCAAGAGGATAGCTGTTGTCAGTCGAATGTTCTTAGTTCGGTTCGTATAAACTGATTTGTCAGTTTTGCCGTTGATGTTATTGGCTGTAAGACTAAAGTGGTGTCGGTCGGCCGCGATTAGTCGGTATCGATCCGTTAGTAAAGTTGGGTCGTTCTGTTCGGTTCGTTTGTAATTCCAATGTCGTGAATAACTCGTTTGTATGGTGCCGGTGGTGGTTGACTCCTGTTGAGGGGAGTGTATTCTAAGTTATTAAACCAGCTTTCCAGAGTCAGGAACTAACTGCAGCAAACGGCAGTTCATTTAATATTAATTTCTAAAACTTCGTTGAAAGTAGCTGAGTGCATGTTACCTGTTAATCTTTGAACTCCTAAGATCTGATTGTTAATTCTCTCCTCTAGCTGCTACACATTTCCTTGTGAATCGGTTACGAGAATTTGATGTTCAATCAAGATAATATCTTGTACCAGATAAGTTTGAATAATCTCACCACCTGTTCGCTGGATAATGTATAGATACTATAGGAGAAGTTACATTTTAATCACCTCTGGGTGGTAAAGGATTAGCTCAATTTTGTGCTCAGTTGTACAGTAGTGTCACATTTAAGGGGCATTTATATTATACCTTGTTCAACAGGCCTGGTAAAGTCTGCATAAAGTGTGCACTCAGGTCTTTCTTTTCATTCACAGTAGTTTTGTTTTCCTTCACTTTACGAACTGCTCTTCCGGGGGGACCCTGTCGGGTAGATGCTTGTTTGCAGGCGCAGACCATGATGTCAATCAATGCCATTTCTTCACTGTCATTCAAACCTGAGGTTAAGGAAATCATGTAAACAATAGTATTTCTAAATTTATTCTTCACCGTCTATTAAAGATTTTGTTCAATGTTTGAAAGGTGACAACTTTTCATAATAAGATTTTCTTATCCACTGATTTCCTGCCACAAAAGAGTTGATTTTTAAGGAAACTAGACTTCACGCAGGTGTAGTTAAAACTCCATCAACCAACCAGTTCCTACAGACTGGACACTCATAACAGATCTCTCCAGGAGTACTAGAACTCTTTTCCCATATTAAACTACACTAAACAAGGCCTTGAATGGCAAAGCCACCATGTGCTGTAAGAGGAGGTATCCTTTGAATTTTAAGTGAGAAAGGTGTTCAAAGATGATTGGTGTTGTGTACCAAATTTCACAAGTGATCTAAAAATCTCATCTTCTTGGTGCCATATTGAGTTGACTGGTGAAGGAGTTGGAAAATTCTAATAAGATAACAAATTTCTGGCTCTTCTATTCAATACTGCAAATTACAAACCCTGATTTATTGCCATGGCAACTCACCTTGCTTGTCATTTTTATCCAAAAGAATGTCAGTCATCAACTTCCAGTCCTGACATGCACAAGACAGCAAACACTTTGTTAGGTAACACTCTGTACATTGCATGACTATTTTTCAGATTTTCCAATGCAAAGAGGCTATCTTTTGTAGCAAAGCTGTGCTCTTGGTGGAGAGACTGCAGACCCAAAGGTCTCAGAATTCTAAGAAATCCAATCCTCAAAAGATTTCCAGGGAGCAAAATTATACATTGCATGTTTGCAAAAGATGTGCTGTTTCCTGACAGGAAAGCTGAGAAACTATTTCACACTTCTCCTATAGATCACAGGACTCAGGCAATTAAGTGTTGAGAGTTAATCATAGTTTTGCATAGAACAGGTCAGACATTTTCTTGCAGACTTAAGGCAAGTGACTTCCATCATTACAAAAGATTTAAATTATTTTACCCTCAGTAAGTCCATACTTTCCCACAGACTGTCTACAAGGTATGCTGCATGGTTGTGGACCTAGAAAAACGAAAAATGTGTCAGATAGTTTGAAGAAATAAAATGGGGTTATCAATGAGATGGCTTTAAATCACTTTCACCCTTTAAACCCAGACATCAGTATTTATATTCTCCTGACTTTTCTCTGCACATTTCCTGTGACACTGACAAGGAGAATTTGTTTAATAATCAAAGCTTCTCAGGTTGATGATCATTTTTCATTATTCTCATGATCTTAATGAATGATTTGGCAGTATTACTGAGAGGAGAAATTAGTTAATGGTCACTCTTTGAGTTAAAGGGGTAAAGCTACATGTACCTTATCTACCAATGTAGGTATAATTGACTTGAGAAATGATCTAAATTTAGAATCAATATTGTGGTAATTATGTCGAATTAAAATTACCTCACTGACAATAAAAAACTCAATCAGCTTTTTTAACTGTACAAGTTTGATTTCCTGTTCTGCTTTTTTGCCTACAAAAAAAAATGCAAAAATGATACATCACTTTTGATTCAAAATGCTTGCAAATATTTACAGAGTAAGTATCAAGAGGGCCAGTCAAGTGTCCTTAGCAGTTTGCAGGTTCCCCTTTTATACTCCTTGGCCCAGTTGAATGAAGGCAAATTAGCACTAACTCAGGGTTTAATTTTAATCTGGGCTTCTTTACTCCTTTGTTCGAAAGCCCTTTTGGGATCATTTTCTTTATTTTTTTTTGGAGCATCCAATCATCAAATTGTTGACAAAAAGAATTATGCTAAATTTTTCTCTAAAAGCTTTCAGATCTGAAATCAGATTTCAAACTAATCCCTGGGTTATCTTAACCCAGTTTTGAACAACCCAGCCCTAAGGAAAGAAAGAAAGTAAAGTGAATTGTAAAAGAATGCTGAACAACAACCCCAGTCCAGACTCAGTCGCAGACCTTTTGGTTGCAGGATCTTGCATGCTAACCAAACAACAGCCACTGACATCTTCCCCATTTAACAAGAAACCTGACCAAGGCTTACCTCTTTTTGATTTGCTTGCTTTTTTCACTTCTTCATCAGCAGCCATGACAAGCCTATCCTTGAGGAATTCTCCTGCTGCTTTTGCCACATTCCGACTTGTACAGAACACAATTAACTCAATCTGTTGGCATTCTTCCTCATCCAGTTTGTCATTCCTACAACAAGACAACAAATACTGGTCATCCAAGCAGCACACAAATATTCTACAATATCAGTACCTGATAAACACTGTTCCTTTTTCAAACTTCTTGCAAATAATTGTTGTCATTTTCCAAACCTAAGGATATGACTGTCTCAAATCACAAGGCCTGAGCAGAACAGTTTCTTTTTTCAGTGTTTGCTTTAAAACTTGAAATTCTTTGATTTTGCAAATAAGATTATTTTGGCCAAGTTAGTCCACGAATATGCAGACACCTAACAAGCACTTCCTACAACTTGGGACAGAACCCAGACTTCTTAATAGCCATGGGTGTGGTACTCTATCTTGAGGATAAAGGGGGTAAGTTTCTAGAGAAACTGTAGTGCTGTGTTGGTGGGAGAAAACAGGGTAATTTAGTATTATCAACTGAGTTGGAAGCCCTAAGACACCCCAAGTGAGGTAGGTAGTGGTTAATTGATTTACACATTTTCTGGATCTGGGCAGTTATAAAACAGGTCTTCAAACTTTTTTAAGGGTTCAAGGATTGGTCTATATACAAAACTAAACCATAATCTGTAGCTGAGTCAGATCACGTTTTTCCGTTTCAGAATCATAATGGAGCAGAAACCATCACACAACTCTCTCTTCAACTTACTCATAGACAATTAGAGTGATGAAATAATTTACACCTCTAGAACTTACATAAGAAGAAGGTTAACCAGCTTGACGGCTTCCACTGCCACTTCATTTTCTTTGTCTAAGGTCATAGCTACAAGTCTTTCCTGGGATTTAAATGAAAAACACTTTTGTGATGACTTTGATCTTTACTGAATGATTCAATAACATATCAATTTTCTTTTCGATAAGAAAAAAATAATCATGATAATACTGAAAGTTGTTCTTCATGCCAGTACCTTAAATCTCTCAGTCAAGGGCTCAAGCTGAGAAAGGAAGTCATCAACCTCGTAGAGGCCTCTCAATGAATTGATGGCCTTCTGCCGCACCTCTCCAATCTAGCAGATGATGATGGATAAAATTGATCAACTCAATTGTCTAAGAAGAGGCACTGTTTCTCCTAAATCTTTTTCTTTCCTTTGGTGTAGTTTTGATGCACTAGTGGAACCACATTTCAAGAACATGCCCAAAACAATATTTAAAAGGAATCTTTTCAACACAAGAGTTAAAATTTAAGATCAGATAGCATGCCAAGACTGAAATGACTAATTCAACCCCTAAAACCCTAATAGTGATCAGTACGTAATTTCTCCTGACAGCAATACTGCTGAATCATTCATTAAGATCATGAGAATTAAGGAAATGATCATCAAACTAAGAAACTTTGATTGTTAAACAAATTCTCCTTATCAGTACCAAAGGAAATGTATAGAGAACAGTATGGAGAATATCAATGCTGATGTTAGGATGTAAAGGGTTAAAAACCTGTTGACAAAACTTGCCTTATCATGTAAGCTCCACACAGTATACTTCAGAAACTTGTCACTCAAAAAGTAGGAGCTACAAAGAAACAGAAATTATGGTTACAGTAACAATGGTTAATAATTTCTATGTTGTGTAGAAAAATTCCTTGTGCAAAACTTGTAAATGCACACCTGTATTCTTTCATCCAATGACCCATTTCTGCAATGCACAGCGCCCTGATTTCATGTCTGGAATCCCTGAAATTGCACAGAAATTAAATGCAAGTCTGATTAAACAGAGTAAAAATAAGTCTAACAGCTGGCCACAAAAAATAAATGACAGCAAAATGTTGCATTTGGCTGGTAAAAAATACAACAAGTAAAACCCTCAAATTTAAATTAAGGAAGACACTCTTGATATGATGCAGAAATGAAAACCAGCAAACTGGTTACCCAGCAGAAATCCACATTCTTTTCAGTCATCAACTCAAGAGACCCTTTGCACTTTTATCTGGAGCTCCAGATACCTACAGCATATGAAGTGGTTACATGTACCTGTATCTATGGACAAACATTCCCTGGTGCACAAAATTCATCATGTCTTCCAAGTCACTGACATTCTGTCTCAGCTATAAGGAAAGAAAATAAGAACCAGTATTATAGTGAGCCTACACTTGATGGACCCTTCAAAACATGGCATAGATGTGAAAGGATAGCACTTGTTCTGTACGGGAAGAGATTTCTGCTTACCTCTTGCCTCCTATTGTTCAACATTTCAATTTTTTCCATGGCTTTCTTGGATGAAACTTTGCTGCTTTCGCTGTCTAACTGGCGCTACAAAAATGATTTGGAGATATCTATGTAAGTAAAACAGACACCTCCCAAAATGCAAAATTCCTACAGCTGTAACTGAGGATTTCATAAAGACACCAATGGTTTGTAGATGGTTAACGCTGAAGCTGTAAGAGGTTGAAAGTTGAAACTTTCACACTGTGTCTATTTAAACAAAAATACAACATACTATACCTGGGTGTGATCCAGCTCTACATGAACACGCTTTGCCACTTGTATCAAAGCAGAAACAAGTTTCATTCCTGTGGGTAAAATAAGTCAGTGACAGGTGAGGCACACTCAAAATATGGATCAAGATGAACCTGACTTCATGAACTGGATGTAATAGTCATTGGGCTAGAAAACATCCACAGAGCACAAAGGAAAGCATTATACATGTAGATGAAGGACTCCAGAACTAGAGATTTAGATTCAAACCTTGGCCGAGTCCTTGGGCGAGACACTTAGTTATCACATTGCCTCTCTTTGCTAACAAGTATTTAAAGCATTTGCAGACTGGCTGAGAAACTTTAAAAAATTGTTGGAGGGTAGGGAGAGGAGTAACAAGGATGTCTCGCTATCCTGTTTAGGAGGAGTATAGATAACTTGTAGACACTTCAACTAACAGAAACCTGAATAAGTTCTAGTGAAAATGGATCATTAGGTCTGTGAGACATAAGAATTAATTCTTACCAGCTAAAGTACTTGTGTGTCTAAAGGCGCGGACTTGTGAGTCTGACAGCCTGATCAGCCAGGACACCAGTGTATCCAACATGTACTCGTCATAGATAATACTGTGTTGGCATTGCTGAACCAGCGAATCCACAAACTCTACAAAGTTTGTCTAAAAAAAAGAAAACAAAACAAAAACAAGTCTAGGTTGAGATCTTTAACCCTTAAATCTCTGAGAGTGATTAGCATTTAATTTCTCCATTCAATTTTTCACCCCTGAATCAGACATCAAGGTCATGAGAATAAAGAAAATGATAATCAACTGAAGAACCTCTGGATCGTTAAACAAATTCTCCTTGCCAGCACATTAGGACATGTATAGAGAACAGTATGGAGAATATGCATGCTGATGTTAGGGTGTAAAGAGTTAAAGGAGTTACTGTACACTCTCAATGACAGTATCTCAGCAACTGTGTACCTACCCTTCCCCTAATCCAACATTAACGCTAACTTGTTAGTGGTTGACTGTTGTTGGGGGGGGTAAGCAGAGGGGTAGGTGTGCAGTTGTTCAAATACTGACATTGATTTGTGCATTTTGTATCAGATAACAGAAAACAAATTCAACTGAATGGTACAATACTCACCCTAAATTTTTTGTACGCTGGACCCGTCATTATGAGTGGGTATTCATGGCTGGCCTAATGAAGAGAAAAAAGATAGCAATTATAGGTCCAATACATGATTGAATTGACAGAATTCAAAGGACTCAGTCCTATGCAGTTGAACTAACCTCGTCAAACTGCTCAGTAAGTTGACGGATTGCATTGACACTTTCTTCCTCCTCCAACATTTTAGGTGTTACAGTTCCTGAAAGGAAATGTATTACTTTTCAATTAAAGTCACCCGGATTCAGACACTCATCAGCTAGGAAGCATCTGAGGTTACATACATGTAGATATATAATTATCATGCTGTCTCCAGTTTTCTGAGGGGTGGATAACACTATCCACTGGATAAATCACTCTCCAGTGGTAGAGCTTTGCTTTTATGAAAGCTTTCAAGTACTGGGCACTTCGTATAGTGATTCTTCTGAGTACAAAGCTTTGATCCATCAAGACATGTTTTACACATGTTCATTGTATATGTACAGTACTGCTCATATATATGTTAACTGTGCAGACAAATAATTATTTCATATGCTCAAACACAAGGTAGTCAGACGTGTGTATACGATTTTTTTGTGCGTATGGCCAAAAAAAATGCGTGACTCATGCCTTTGTTATTCAGTGCTTTAAGTTTCCTTTGTATTACATTGTTGTGTAAAACAAAGTACTTTTAGGTTTGAAAAAGTGGTGAGTCAACAATGGAAATTTTACATAATGAAAAAGGCTATTACATTATACTTGCATCGCTTTGCGAATTTATTGAATAACAAGCAGTAGCAGTGGATTTGCTTGATTTTAGTTGTTGATGACGTAATAAATTTCTTCCCCTAGAACTTGGTCTTGTTCCATTCAAGTATGAAACAAAGGACTTGGCCATCTACACCTTAAACAAGCTACAAAGGTTTTTTTGATATGATAGGACTTTATTCAAAATATTTATTCCTTAAACTGCTCAGAATACAATTTCTAAAAGTTTCTCCTATACAAAGTATCAATTTTACTTCAAAAAACCTTATTAAATCAGAACAAACCTTTGCAGCCACAACATTGGACAAAAAACTGTATGAGATCAACCATTCCATTTTCTTTGTCTGTTGTGTAACTCTCAATCCAGTCATCCACAACAGCCTGTGAATTTTACATGGAATAAAATTTACAAAAGGATTTACATGTACCTGGTGTAAATGAAAAACTGCAAAGGGTTAATTTGAAAAATGTCAGGGGAGGGGGTTGGTTGTTCTGGAAATCCAGTCCAGAAAGGGATTTTGAACGTTTTCTTTCAGATCTTATCTCTGAGTCAGTAAATGTCACAACATTCTCATGTTTTTGAAAATGCCACAACAACAATAATGTACAGATCAGCCTTGCTCTCCCATGAAAGCCTACAGTATATCACAGTGTACACAACAGCAACAATTTCATTCCCCACTCATCCTAGTGGTTAGTTGGGGTAGTCCTCTTAATGAGGACTTTGGACATAAGGCTTCAGCCAGAGGAAGCCACTGACTCCTGTTAGTTGCCATCAAGCTGCCATGGCTAGCCATAGTGAAACAGGAACATTCTTAACAACTCAGTGTATCAAAAAGAACTTTACTGTATTAAAAAAAAGTTTAGATGTAACATTAAACATAATTCTTACCCTCAGAGCACCTTTTCCAGCTTTCACAATATCAAACAAGGTTCCCTGACTCTCATCTGCATATGCACTTCCTTTTGATTTTCTTGATTTCTTCTGAGAAGACTTTTGAGCAGAGGGTTGTTTAGATTTTGCCCTTTTTGCTGCCTGCAAAAATAAAATTATTTATAGATACACCTTTGGTTATTCCCAAGAATGACTCAAACAAACAAACAAAACCACAAATGATCCAACTAACTGAAAAAATATATCAATCAACTATACCGGTGTAGCTTTGGAGGTTTCTGCTGCTCGTTTCCTTCCTCGTACTAAGGTAGGCACTTGAACAGGAGTTTCCAAGTCACTGTCATCACTTGATTTATTTACTGATGACTGTTCCCTGAAAAGACAAAACATTTGAATAAAAAAATTAATATCATTTTGTTTTCTGAATCATCTCAGTGGGCTGAAATTTTAACTCCTTAATTCTGATAGGGAATTGCATGTTTGTAATTAATCTAGCTTTTTGTACTGTGGACCACAGCCTAAAATTTTTTTCTCCCCTTATCTCAGCTAAGTGGGAAGAGGAAACCAGCAAGAAAAAAGTAAATAACTTATTCACTGGTCTAGGTTGGTCTGTATTGAGAAAAAACTGTGCACCTGGGCTTGAGTAATGCTCTCAATTGCTTAAGGTCTTGGGTACCTTTCCCCATAATTATATAAACCTCCCGCCCAGTAGATAACATATAACTCTTCTCTTTTCTAGCCAGGTTAGTTCTACAACTAAAATGATTTTGAAATTGCATCATTGAGTACCCAGCTTCTTCATTTCCTTCTTCTTCGTCATCATCTGACCCACTACTCTCTGGTGTCATTTTTGTCTTTTTGGTTTTGGACTGCTGTGGTGTGACTTGTGCTTTACTAGCCAGTGGCTGATGACCATAGAGAATCCTCTGCCTGACCCTCCTGCCGCTACGTCGTGGTGACTCTCCCACCTAAAGTAGCAAAACATTGATTCAGTTTTCTAAATTTGCCGAAGATTAATTCACTGAAAGAAAAGCCTGTCCTGCAAACTAAATGATATCTATCTTGGTTATTAAACATTTGATCCTTAAGAGTGATAGGCATCTTATTTCTCCCAACAGTATTACCCTTTAATTAAACATTAACATCATGAGAATGAAGGAAGTCATCACCCACTCGAGAAGCTCTGGACTGTTAGCAAAATTCTCACCTACCCCTCACCTACCCCTACCCCTCCCCTAACCCAACAACAGTCAATTGATGACAAGTTAAGGTTAATATTGGGTTAGGGGGATGGGTAGGTGGGTAGTTGCCCGGATACTGATATTGATCCAAATTCTCCTTACAGGTACAATAGGAAATGTATAGAAAACAGTATGGAGAACTTGCATACTGATGTTAGGGTGTAAAGGTTTAAAATGTTTATCTAAAAATTTACGGCCTCATGGCGTGAATATCATGCTATGAGATAATCTGTAAAACTAAATTTCCGTAGCCGACAATCATGGTAACTTTAACATTTTTTAGTTATATGCAGGACAATCTTTCTATCTTTTTTCCTTTTTTATTCGCCAGAATGTACCTTGGTCTTTGAAGGAGATGGTGTGCTGCTCACAGCTGGACTTGGTGCAGCACTGCTGCCACTGGCATCCTCTTCATCTGGCTGTATTGTAGACATCATTCAGGCAAACTGCAAAAGACAGAAGGTTTCTTGTGACAAAGTTGAAATAACACTTGCCCAAATGCTCTTATACACCATAAAAAGAATGGACAAACAAACTATTATGTTTTTATCTATTAGTTCATCTATGTTTTAGTGATGGATGTTTTGTTTATCTAATTGTTTTACAGTTTTGATTAATTTGTAAGAGCACTTTACATTTTTCAAATCCATCTTAATAATTCTAAACAAATAATTTACAATTCTGAATCCTGCTGTGCATCATTTGCTTTTGACAATTATTTATGTTACTAAATTAACTTCTTAATTCATATTTACATACTTTGTTTTCAGAATTTTAACCCTTAAACTCCCACAATCTAATCATCAATTCTCCCTTCTGGCTACTAAACACTTCCTTATAAGTTAGTCACAAAAACTTGGTGTTACCGGTAAATCAAGGTAACAACTTCTGATAATTTTTAGGATTCTCTTTACCCTTTTGCTGAATACTATAAAGACATTATATGGAGAAGTTACATGTTAATCACTCTGAGAGTAGCAATTAAAGGTTAAAAAAAACTTAAATTAGATTTAAATGTGTGTCAGAGATTTAATTTGATTGCGATTAATGTGATGGAGTTGATTGGACAACAGGTTCTCAATTAAAAGGTGTCATAACCCAGTGTAGAATATCTTCAATACAGGTGTAGAATATCTACATTACAGGTAAAACAATTTTGCTGCTTTGAACAATGTACAACTTGTTGATTCAGTCGCACGTCAAGAAAGAACACTATTGCATATCAACAACCTCAAAATAATTATCGCCAAAAAATTACAGTCTGATGTTGTGGATCAGCGTGTCAAGGGTAGTTTAAAGCATGCATGCACAATGGATCGAGTTCTCACAGCATCTAAGTTAAGATATTTTGAACTTGATTTGTACTCGGCGACTTTTAGCCGATTCAAACGCATTTAAAAGCTATCTGGAAGACATTAGAGTGATATCCACATTGTATAAGACGACGATGGACTTCAAGGAGCTTAAAGAAGGTCGAAAACATGTGCAGGAGCACGGTTTGAAGATAAATTCAGGGCTGCATTGTCCAGAGGACGACATGACATATACATACATTTGCCAAAGACCTCTCAACTAAGTCATTTGCTGGATTCTGCTCTTTTTTTACCTGATATCTAATCCAGTAAACATCTTTACTAACCTCCTTACTCAGGTAACCGATCTATCGTTCATAAAAGGTCGTAAAAGACAGCATAAATGAATAAACTTCTATGTTTTCAGTCACAAGTTCTCCCTTTGGAGCTCGATTCTGTTTTGGCGGGCGTTGATCACATGATCGAAATCAAGTAGACCGCTGACAACAATAGAACTCGCGGGAAAATGAGATAAATTAGGGGAGGGTGGGGTGGAAAGGGAAAACTGAAAGCTAATGAATATCAGCGTTCTATCACAAACGCTGTAATCTGATTGGCTGTCTTATCCTTGATAGTGGATGAAGTGAATAGTCTAACTTTGTGTCTAACTTCGAGCCTGTTTCGTTGTTATTATTTGGACGGCTGTTATAATTATAATAAGACAATTAGATAATTTCGCTCTCGATCTCTACGTATGATTCGTCTTTGTCAACTTTTATCAAATATCACGCGATAGAATTCTCAAGCACATAACCTTAGTGATAAGCTACAAAAGGAACTTACACCATTGATGTTTGGTCACCTGGCAAATTTACATATTGCCAAGTGACGTTTCAGTTGGAGAGGTGATAATTTTGAATTCATGAATTTGACCAACGTTTGTATAACTGGGTGCAATTTTAGACCATCATTTTTCCGATAAGAGAGAGGGAATTGCAGTCGTTCCGCCCGAAAGACAATCCGTCTGAAGTCGATCCGCCCGAGAATGGAAGTCGATCTGCCCGACGAACAAACAGTGCATCAAATTACAAAGATTAAGCTATGATTCCATTTTTTAATTTCTTTTAGTTATGTTTGTAAATATTCGTTGACTGCATTATCAAAACAACTGCTCATTCAACCGCTGGAATATTTAACTTCTTTGGAACTTCTGCGATCAAAAGCGAAATCATTTTGTTATGTAATAGACACATCGAGGCCAAATCTTGATCTGAGGCCAAAAGTCAGTTGTGATGTTAGTTGAATAAAATGTCTGGTTTTGTAAGATATTTCACTGAAAATGCTACCACCACGGAAACGAAATGATTCTACGGGCTTAAGAATGGGATACCAAATTTGTTTAAGTTATGCTTTTTACGGCGGTCATGCCACCAGTGAACGGAACGTAGACAAGACGAATTTTACCGCCGAGTCAGTATACAACTCGGAAAAAATATTAAACCATTCATATTGTATTTCGTTACAAAAACTCATAAAACACTAGTTTTATTTAAGATGTCATTTTAAAGAACTCTACACAACTCATAGATAAGACGACGTATACATCGGGCGCAATGACTTCGAAGTTCGGGCGGATAGGTCTCGGGCGACCGGATACTCGAAGGTCTTGGAGAATTCTCGAGAAATTTTGCAATCCTCTGACAGCGTGTCGGGGTTTCATTACTGTCTGTATGTCTCTCGACCTAGTTTAAGTTTTCATTTATTCATTTAGGCTTTGTAAACACGATAAAAATCATCCTTATGCTTAATTACAAAATGTCTTTATCACCATGGTAACTTGATAAATGTTTTGACTGAAATTACACTGAACAGTCCAATTCCATCTGTCTGAGTCGAACAACTCAACTGCAACTGCAACAACATGACCTTTGAGCTATATTACACAATTTTTGTCTCTATTTTCTTCTTTCAGTTTAAAGAAGCAATATTTACCGATTACAAAAGCTCTCTTGATGTTTCTGACGGAATTTTAAGCTTCGCTAATCTTTTCTCGTTTCCTAATCATCTACTGAACGCTACACCATTTGAATCTCTCTTCTTGGATGGAGAACAAGACTGCCTTCAAGCTTGTACAGAGAACCCTCGATGTCGATCGTTGAATTTCAAAGAAGGTCCTCGGTTACATGGAAAATTTCTCTGTGAACTCTTGGACACTGACAAATTTAAGTCGTTGAAGCTATTTGTTCCAAGTTTGGATTTTCATCACTTCAGTGCGACAGTGAGTATTTTTAAAAATTGAACTGTAACCAGGATATGACATAGTGAGAAAGGTAAAAAAAAAACGTTCTCTGGTTAAAAAGGTTTTAAAATATGAGCTTTCGGCTATTATACTATAGCCTTTAACGAATGTAAAAAATATAAGCGCGTGAATGGAAATATATACAGGGGAGGGTGTGAGTATTTTGATAAAAAAAAATTTTGATAAAAAAGTTATTTTATAAATATTTTTATGCGTGTATGTGCGTTGTGCTATCTTGAAAGACAGCAGGTAGTTTTGTCAGAAAGGAGCTCAAATTTTGGAAAAATTCTTTAATTCATCTCCTACTATTTAGTTATTTTCAGTTTTTCTTCAAACTCGAATAAATCTACTTTTTAAAATGAAGTGCGCCCTGAATTAAAATTTAAGAAAATTTGCGTAATTTACGTATATGCACTGAAGTTGTCTTTATAAACCAGCCCAGTTCGCACAAGTTTGTGCGAGACATCGATAATAAACTTCGACTTAATATATTTATGGGTGTGGCATTTTTCAATTAAGTTTTTCTGACAATATCACAACATATGACAATATCTTTTTACCAATGCCTTACATATAATACTTTTAATTAATTTTTTATGTTATTTTGAGAAAGCTGCCTTTCTTCTATTTGACATTATGACAAAACGTGAACAAATCGAGGAATGCTGAGTGCAAATCTAAATACATGGAAATAAATAGAAATTTTTGATGGTGAAAAAGGGAAAATTTGGCCTTCTCCTTTCTTGCAATTATTTGTCAAAAAAATATCGGTGTATTCAGAAAAGCAAGTCACTGCTCTATACTAGTTGCAAAGAATCGATATCTCGACGGTAAATCGATCTGTCGTCGAACAGGATAATCGACCTTAGTGACTTCCATCGGCTATGAGAAATCATAATAATGTTACGACATTTCAGATTTGATATATCCTTCCCGAACTCGTTTCGCCTTCCGCTTGCCTAGCTTTGTGAGGATACTCTTACTAAGTCAGATTGTTGGTTCTTACCAGGCCCCTTGCGAGCTCGATCCGTGCGAGAACGGAGGAACCTGTCACCCAGTCGAGATGGCGTACGACTTCAAATGCGCCTGCCCTCCAGGTCTCTTTGGGAAGCAATGTGAGAACTGTAAGTATGCTTGCATTTTTCAGATAAAGCAAATGTTGCTGAGAAGATGGCTCGAGGAAAGTGGAATAAAACTAAGATATTTACTCCTTCCTTACATAGCTGCTTGTTAGTTGCTGGTGACCATTTATACTCCCAGATGGAGCGGGGCGCCGTTGGAAATAAAGCGCCATATCTGTTAACACATAGGTTCGAATCCAGATCTTAAGATTAGGAGTCCTGTTAAGAATAAGCTACAAATTTATTCGTTCTCTAACGGGACGAAACAGAATGATAAAAAAGAGACATTATTAATTCACAGGTATTAAACGAAACCCCGTCCCCAGACTCCCTCGGGGGTCCCTTAAGGGCATGTATATCAGTAAACTTCTTTCTCGTCAACTTTTTATTTTAGTGACCAAGAGCTGCGCTGAGCTGCTAGACGCTGGCTTCACAAACAATGGTGTCTACAAAATTCTTTTTAACAATTCCCAAGTGTTCGACGTGTACTGCGATCAGTCCAGCCGGGGAGGAGGTAATATTAAAAAAAACTTTACCTTATTATGCACAAAATTCCTTAGAAAAACTGCTTTGAAGACCTATGCGCTTAAAGAAGAGAAGTGTTCTTTCCCATCAGCATCTTTTGGCGCAATTTTCGGTGAAGTGTCGAAAGTCATCTTGGATATCTTTTATTTTGCTTTACTTTGCTGCGTGATTGGTTCTCAAAGCTTGCGCCACTTTGTCAACCAATCAGATTTTAAATTTAAACCAATCACGCTTTGATCACTTCTGTTCTCCTACGCCCTAGATGTTTTGCTTGTTTTGACTTAGAGTTCTCATCCAAGACACGAAAAACTTCCCTTTCCTGGTTTCACGTATGCTCGCATAGCTTATAGCCTCATATTTTCCCGCGGGCGCAGTAACGGTCGTGCGCTTAGCGCTGATAATGTTGGCCTGCTTGCACGCTTTTCAGGTGGTGCATATAAGACTCAAGCGCCGGGCGCATAACGGAAAAAAAACTTGGGTGTACTAAGCTCTAGTTTTCGCGGAAAACAATCTATTTTGTATGCAGGTTGGACAATGGTTTTCAAGGTTGTATCTGGCGTCTCGGCTAACGGTAGAAGCATCTCACAACTGTGGTTTTCATCGGAGACGATCAATGAAAATAGATCAGAGGCACTGAACATCGATTCTTCATTCAAAGAACATTACAAGAACCGCTTTGTGCCAAATTGGCACCTTGCAAAACCCAAAGAGGTAGGTCTGTCTTATTGACAAGTTCTCATTGTCATATAGAGTTGACTTATGAGTGACTCAGACATAACTTCTCCTTCAAATATGGATTCAATACCAAGCACCCAAGTGATGAGAAAATAAAAAAAGTATCAGTTAACGGCCGGAATTGTTAGTCGATCCAACACCAAATTCTCCAGGCTCACACCATAGGAAATGTATGGCAGACAGTAAGGAGAATTACTAATGAGATCTCGGTAGTGAAAAGGTTATTTGAGACTTCTTATGACACGTATTCAGAATTCATTTAATGCGTACGAAAGCAATGGTCCATGTCGAAAATTGTCTGGGACTGATAAACCTTACCTCATTTATATCCCATTTTCTGATTGGTTTAAAAAGATCGCATCATCTTTGTCGCCAATCATATTTAAAACTGAAACCATTTTAGATATCTGGGCCAGCCCTCTTTTCTCTTTGCATGCTCATTTTTTCCACCGTCATTATTGACCGAGAACCTCTCAGAGGGTCCTCTCAGGGACGCCCATTATGTACTGTATGGGGGGGGGAGGGGGGGAGGGGGAAAGGAGAGAGAGAGAGAGAGAGAGAGAGAGAGAGAGAGAGAGAGAGGGAGAGGGAGAGGGAGAGGGAGAGGGAGAGGGAGAGGGAGAGGGAGAGGGAGAGGGAGAGGGAGAGGGAGAGGGAGAGGGAGAGGGAGAGGGAGAGGGAGAGGGAGAGGGAGATTCCCCTGTCTAATGTCTCCCCATTGGCGACGACTGACTCAGTCTCCCCCCCTCCCTAATAAAAAATGATTAGTCCTTTGCGGATGTA